CTCATCACAGCTGGGTGAAAGTAGGATTTCTTTCCCCACGGGTTCCTGCACATAGCTTACATTCAACATGCTCTGATTATGCAAGATAGGAATATCCAGGGTAGCTTTTTCTCTCACATATCCTGCACCTCTTACTACAGCTCTGCAGGAGGGTAGGACAGAGGTCTGGATGAACATGTAAGCCTGGAGAGAGCTGATATTTAAGATTAAAACAGTCCATTGGGGTACAGGAACTGTGTCAGTGTTACATGTGGACTCAATGCCCACATTTTGTGACACAGTGTCAGGTATGAGACTCTTCAAGCCAGAGTCCCTGGCTYAGGTTTATCCTTCCCCTCTTGCATTTAGCTGAAAATGCCGCAGGACTGTGGGAGGAAATTAAATCCTAAAGTTGAAATACATTTCAATTTATATAAGAAAAACAAACAAGCAAAACCACCCCAGGCTGCCTGGAGAACACTGCTCCAGTTATGTTATTATARCAATCACTTTATTACAGAAAAAGTGTCCACAAGCTCTCCTGCCTGAGAGCTGTTGCCATCCTCTCGTGGTGCACATGTCCCTAACAAGGGCTGACAGCAAGAGGGGGGAGCACAGCCCTCAGAAGGCTGTCCCATCCCAGCAAGAGAGGATCCATCCACCTCGGGAAGCAGGGTCTTGTGACAGTTTTCATTCCATCTTGGTKGTKYAGCCCWGCTGACCAAGGCATTCAGAGAGGAAGCTCAAGAAGAAAGACAGGGAATGTCCTTCCAGGCAGGAATGTGRCACTAATGACCACCCTTTCTGTTTTAGTGGTTTCCACATTTTTTCCTCTTAGACTCGTGGAGAAAAAAATCACCTTAGCAGCCAGAAGGCTCCATCCAGGTCCTTTCCATAGGAAAGTCCTTGCACCTCTTTTTTGGCTTCCCAGGGGTAAGAGAAGGGCCAACTTGATGCTTGCAGAGTGAGTTGGGTCAGATTCCTTGTCACTGAACACCACAGAAGCAGGAGCTTCCCAAGGCATTGCTGTTCTCTCTCTTGACACCAGAAATGTTTGGATTCAGAGGTGGGGAATGAGGGCTGAGTCCTGTGCGGGCGAAGCATGTTCCCTCACCAGTATTTGGGATTCTTCAGACAGCTCAATTTTGCACACAAAATAAAAACTGGGTGAGTTTCCTAGGCCCAGAAATTTGTCTTAATGCAGTGTGTGTTACTGAAGCATTTGAGACTTTCTAGTGGAGAGAACTGAAAACCAGCATTAAGATTCAGGTTTATCCTTGTGACAGCCACCCAATCAAGCTACTTTTGAGATAAGACTGTGGATTTACTCTGAAATTACTTCATATCGCCTACAGGTGTTGCAGCACTTGATTTCAAAATGCTGCTCTGATGTAAGGCCTCTACCACAAGCAAACATGTCAGTACAAGCCAAAATTAATATGACATTCATAGTTCCACTTTCTCTTGTCATACTGTGTTGAAGTCATGCAGATATGTCAGTGGATTTCTTCCCATTTCCTTTCTGTGCCAGGCTATGAAATTAAAACCGAAGGAGAAGAAAGCAACCTTGTAGGCACATCTGATTTTTTTTGGCTCTGCCATAAGGACTCCAAGGTGCCTGGGTGAGCACCAGGGCCCGTTGTGGTACCTTYACCTCATCCCCTGGGCTCACTGCACAGGGCTGGTACCCCCAGGGCATGAGGGTTAGAGGTGTTCCCTACTCCCTATTTTCTGGGCTARAGGGATGGAGCAGCTGTTTGGTGCCAATAGTCTCATGATAAAAGAGCATTATGCTCTTGCTGGTACCGGTGCCACTTCATACAGGATCCTTTCACAGGGTGCTCCTGCTCACCCTGCTTTGCTGCTGTCACCTTGCAGTTTGCTGCAGGTGCCATCTGCAGATTTGTGAAGGAGAGGCTGGAGAAACGGTGCCATACCCCAAATGCAACCAGTACTTGTAGCGATTGTACAGCATTTGAGATTTCTGGTGCTCATTATTTTCCTGTCTGATTTTTTTTTTCCCTAGGTCTCTGTATTCCACATTTACACCTCAGTGGGCTGAGAGATACCATTGCCATCTGTCTTTATKTTGTTAACCCTCCTGTTTGGACACCATGGTGTGGAGACTACTGGAAATGTGCAACACAGGCTGYCAATTTCATTATATTTTTCCTCTACAAAAATCCATATAACTCATTCCCCTGCTCTTTGCAGGGGATGAAATACTAGCATTTTAACAGGAACCTGCATTTAATGCTTTGGGAAGAGTTGTGTCTTCAGTATGCTCAGTACACTGCCCTCTTTTGAAGCCAAACTACAGGATAAGGCCAGGAAGGCTCTGTTAYTTAGTTTAAAGCCGTCCTTGAAGAGGTTTATATTTGTCAAGTCCTAGGTTTGAAGTCAAGCCCATCGAATGCTCTGCATCCCACATAACCTCTGTGGGTACATCAGAGCCAGGGCAGCTACACAGCGACTGGACACTGAAAAAAATCTCTCTCCACTGTCCATCCCCCTCGATGGAAACAGCACGATGCTACAGAAGCTGCAGCATCTTTCCTTGCCAGAGCCAYAGGGATCACTACACCCTGATGTAGCCTCTTTTGATGTTGTGAATGTTTTGGAAGAAAACAGACAGAAAACAGCAGTGAGAATTTGCGCAGACAAAAGTGTCTCTGTCAGATAGTGGATGCTGGGATAAAAAGACATCAGAGATTCAAGCAAGTATTAAATACTATTCTGGAATGTTTTGGATTATACAAATGGGTGAGGCAAGGTCAAAACGGTTTAAATTTCTGGAAAATTTCTTTTTACTTCAGGCAAGAATAGGAAGCAGTGTTAGAGACAGAGTAAGCAAAYGGAATAGCCTACAAAATGAGGAGAAAACAAAGGAAAAAGAGGTGCYTTTAGCAAAGGCAGTGACATGGCAGAATTGAAACATATGCACCAGAGAGCCTGGGCCAAGCCTTTGAGAMGACACCCTGAATGTCTCCATTGTAGGAGCCATGGACTTCAGCAAAGGTGAATTTTTTATTTTTTGTGGAGGGAAAAGTATCATCCTCTCAATGGTTGTAATGTTATCTCCATAAGCTTCCCGGTAAACAGATCCCCAGGACAGACTTGTCAGCAAGTACCAGGAGGCCTGTGACTGCTTTTCCCACTCAGTCAGTGTGGTGCTTTTGGGGATTTGTGCCTTTTTCCCCTAACAGGAACRCGGTGCTGAGGGCAGATTTGGCAGTTCAGGGCAGGGGAGCAAAGAGAGCACGGGTGCCARAGGGTTTCATGGCAGGTGATTTCTGTGGGCTGCCTGCATGTGACTAAAGGGCGACAGTGATGCCAGGAAAGGACCTAAAAGGTGCCCCTTTGGTCCCACTTCTGCCACAGCTGAGGGCTCCCAGGTTCTGCAGTGCCAAGGAAAGCCCTGCCTGGCCTTTGGACATSCTCATCTGGAGCACACCACCTGGCAAGCAAAGTTTCAACCCATGAACTGCCTCTTCAAGAGTTTTAGGGTGTAAAATCTTGGCCATTTTCATGGCCATGGCTGACAGCCTACATAATAGCTCCAACTTCATTATACAACCCACAAACTTAGCTGAGTGCACAGCATTTATTAAAGTGAGCATTTTGAAAGGCTCTGTGTAAGTCAGATTGATTTCTTCCACATACAAGAAAAGCTGAAGATTGATCATGGTGAAAATAATTTTGCACTAGCAACAGCACTTGGACCTCCTGCAAAACCAAAATTGCAGTATGGATGTGCTGTGCAAGGCCTGGTTGCAAGGTGTTTTCTGCCTTCCCACTACCACCAGGAGGAAGGGAAGCATCCAACTGGTGACCTCTTGGTGTCCCTGTGAGCATTGCTAATGGGTAATCCCAGAATATCAGTTAGAAAGCTCCAGATCATTCTCCTGCAGAGTTTACGACATGCGTAAAGCCAGAAAGACAAAACACCTCATCAGGAGAGCACAGCAAAGGCTGCAGGCAGCACAGGCAGGGTGAAAATGGACCTTGACAGGGGATTATGTTTTCATTTCTCAGAAATGATAAACCAGTCATGCTCTCCCTCCTGACAGGAGGTGGCACAGTGGGTAAGATGGATCTACATGCCTTTAAACACTCCCCCAACTCCGTTGTTATTATTCATTCCCTCTGCTAAGTTAGAAATAATTATTTCAGACATACCATTGGTCATTTTATGACTGGCTCATAAAAGAAAGAAAGAAAAAAAAGGCAACCTCCAAGTGAGGACTGGTAGGTCCTATGACAAATACAGGTAAGGAAACAAAAAGTATTTTCAGCAGAAAATTAAGAAAGAAGGACCAATGGCAAAGAAAAATACCGTAATTGAGAAACATGTTGCAGACACTAATGTCCAGGCAGTCAGTACTCTAAAGAAGTCACTTTTATGCTACTATAAATGTTCATTTCCTTTGCTCCTTACCCATTGCAGACATCATTCCCAATTGTAGCATAGATAACTATGGCTGGATTGTCCAACAGCTGGTTTCTGGCCAAGCTAAAAGATAAATAGGGAGCTATATTAGTGGTAAAGTACACTCTTGGTGTCTGAATCACACATCATGCTCATATGAGATCACATTTGGAAGTATGGTTGGATTTGGCCAATGCCCAAATGACTGCTCCCACATTTGGGAGAGGGTTTTTGTTTTTTTTTTTTTTTTTTTGGGGGGGGGGTTTTTTTTTTTTTTTTTTTTTTTTTTTTTTTTTTCTGCTGGCTTTCTATTTTCTTTGTGTTATTCAGAAGCCAAATCAAATTGTTTCACTTTGGGGCAAAGACATGAATCCAGACAGGAAATTTTTAATCAGAGATGGGAAAGGAAGACTAGGTTTGGCTGACAGCTAAGTCTATGTGTAGAATTGAATTCAAGATCAAATCAGGATGTGGTTTGAAGCTCAGTGCTGGAGGGCAAGGATTCATTATTACTTTTTCTGGAGGAGAGAAAAATAAATCCTTTAGGACATGAACCATACCAGTGTCAAGCAAAGTAAATCAAACACAGCTGACCAATAACCCACCCAAATTCATCTGAAAAGAAGAGTTGCTGCCTCTCACTACCCAGTAGCTACTCAGTTATATCCATATGGAAATAACACGGGACCTGCCCATGTCTATTTTCATTGCTACATGAMGTTAAGGGGACACGACACGCAGGTTTTTGGAAAGGCTGTCTCTTTCCTAAAATCACTGGAAATGCTCCACTGGCTTAACTGAGCCAAGTTCAAGGCCCTGGAGATGGTGATACCCACACTCAAAAACAGTTTTTCTTCTGTTTATTAATGTTTATAGCAGAGAAGAAACAGCCAGCCCTTGAGAGCRCTCTGGTGGGGAAGCTGTGCTTTTTAGAACAGTCATGGATTATATACTCCTTAMAATGCTTTGCTTTTTTCTTTCAAAGAAGCAGAACTCCATCAATACTTCTGTATCTCAAGTTAGCATTTGAATCCAATTAAACACTCACCTTTTTATTAAAGAGAGGAGGTTTCCTGAAGAACCACCTGATCACACATAAGGGGGACACAAGAGAAATAGTACAACATTGTTATAGTGACAAAAAAAWCCCTGGAGTGCAAAACAAAACTTCATTGCTTAGTCCCAAGAACGTAGAAGCATTAAAAGTAAAAATGGAGTTACAAGTCATTTCTGTACCCTTTTCAAGCACTGGCATTAAGAAGTAAATCCAGAGACCTGCTGCTTTCATACGTGAGTCCCACACTTCAGACTGTAGAAAATCAAATACTTTTAARTGCAGGGTTGTTTGGATCTGGCTTTTAATCCAGATCTGGCAGCTCCTTCCCATCTGTTGAACRTAGTAGTCTCCTGTAAACCAGCCAACCTGACTTGTCAACAGTCGATCTATTTTAACTTTCCCTATAAATTGCAAAGGGAACTGTTCTCACTCTTCTGAGAGAGTAAGTGTCTCACAGCTATACCACATTGGGACTGATTCAGGCCCTAAACATAGGCACCAAGTGCCATTTTTGACATCCAAGACACCTGCAGCAGGGCTGGCAGATACATCACAAGATGCACTTGAGGGATGTGAGAGATTGTGCACTTCTGGAGAGGCAGCTGGAAGTGGAAAATATACCACAAAGCACCTTAAATAGCTGTAGACACCAGTGTTTGGGTTCCTGCATTGCTCTCCCCACAAGTGTSAGACTTAAGAAAAAGTAGTATTAGGCCAGCTGTGCTTGTCCCAGGAAGCTCTGCATTTCAAATGGTTAGGTGAAGATCTTTCCTTCTTGAGGAAAGGAGCTGGCTACACCTAAACATCTGTGAGCATCTGTAATATTTTGTTTATGTTTTGAATGAGAAAAGCATTCCCAATTAGTAACGTTTTTATGCATTAATCTTCTTAGCAGGTCTTTAAAGGCTGTGCATATTCATCCAACCATCCCCAGCACACAAATCAAACTCCATCACCTGCAATGCAAGAGGGATAGCAAACATGGAGCCAAAAAAGACTTTCAGATTTGTTCAAGATGAGACTTGAAGTTTATCTCGCAGCCATGTACAGAAACAAACTTCAGAGATGCAGTTCCTACAGRTAGTACTTGCTCTTAGTTTGCAGTATTTTCACTCTCTCCTCTTTTTTTCATTCCTGCTCCTCTTGYATAATCCTCCCCCTATTCTCAGCTCAACTCTTCCCTTGCCTCTCTCTTCTCTTTTCTGCATTGTGCTTCTGAGGCTGGCTTTGAGGMGTAAAGCCTATCCTCCCTGCAGTTCTTGAGGGGAAACTTGTGGACAGAACATCATTAAATCCCTGCTGGATTGGTATGGGGGAAGAGATCTAAGAGATAAACCCCAAAGGTAGCAATCATACACTTTGCATYTTAATAGTGATGCCTTTGTTATTATCACTCATAGTGATGCCAACCGCATATATCAAGGAATCCTTTATGTTTTAAATAATCCAGTTCTTCCAAGCTAAAAATGAWTGTATCTATCTGCTGCTTCTCTCCTGGGGGTTGCTGATCCATTCAAAAATCCAGCCCTTCTATTGAGAAGCTCTTTTTAGCAAGATAAGAGCCCCACAAAAACCTTGACAAACACAGCTTGGAACATAACTAYGAACAGTTTGTTTTTTTCCCTATTTAATGGCCCATCTTTCAGCCAGAGCTGAACACCCTTGGTTTAAGCCATTCTGTCACAAGGCTCCCTGGACTGCGCCTGCAGTTTCAGCATAAATGAACTAGTGGGACCTCTAGAAATTAAAATGTATTTACAAAAAAAGCAATGAGCTGTTCCTGTTATATTACTTCTATAAACATAGATAGTTATAAGCAGCTCCGTGGAAAGCATTAGCACAGTTACAAATCAAAACATCAAGAAAATGAAGGGTCTTTTAGAAAACAGTTTTCATGGGTAAATTGAGTCTTCAAGGAAGCTTTTGTGATACGGGATGCAATCTGTGATGAAAACATTCAGGAGAAAAAAAGAGATGAAGCAAAACAGTCACCCTTACACTGTTGACTGTCCTGGAAGCTGCCCCTGGATCCTTCCTCCTCTCTCTCTCTCTCTCTCTCTCTCTCTATCGCTTTCCAAACATTTTCAGGCCAGTGGGGTTTTTGTAAATTTTGGTTGAGAAATCCAGATTGGGTTTGGGTCCAGTTGTGAGGGAAGGGTCCACCACCTCCAGAGGATAATGGGATTTCTTAAGAAAGGGAAAGCGGCAATCCCATTAGCATGGAGGCTGGGGAGGCCTTTTTCCATGATGAAGATGCATGTCCTGAGAAGGGCAATGGGAAAGTAACTTTTTGTGCTGAAGTCTGACACAGTGCTGGTGCTTTTGCAGGAGCGCAGAACAGGAACACTGTTCTTGGTGCCTGGCTTGGTTTGCCATCCTGGGCTCTAACTCTTGGCTGCACATCTCCCCCACCAGAGCAGCACCCTTTCATTGCACACGTGGGGCTGTGAAACATCACTCTCAGAGGAGCATTTAGTTGCCTCAGGTGGGGTTAGGTCAGGCTGGTGGCCAGCTCTTTGCTTTATTGACACTGAGGGTGGTTTTTAAAAACCTCCCATTCTGGGAAACTATGACACCAAATGCGAAAATGAAAGTGAACCTTTACAACGTAGTGTCAGTGTGATGATTTAGAGAAGATATCCTGAGATTCTTCTCTCACTGGTCATCTTTCCCTTTTCAAATTCACTTCTTAATTTTCTGCAGAGTCTCTTGCCCTGACACAGGCTCACCTCTTTTTATATCCTGCAGGTGTCTGTAGTGTAAGTGGAAAGGAGATACGTGGAGAGAAAAACGAATGATGCCCAAGTGAGAGATACTGAAAAAAACTATGAGGGAATTGGGAAAAGGAGKCACATGAAGTACCACTCTCATTAATGTAAAGAGAGTAGAACAAGGTAATTAGGGTATCAGGTGCTGAGACAAATTKGAAATAAATGAGAAGAACCATTGACACCTAGTCATCCTTGACCATATAGTTTGGCCCTTTTTTTAACTTTCTCTCAACAGAAAGTCCACTTGGGGGACTGCGATGATGGGAGACCCCAACTCTAGCACCCTGCAACTTACAGGTGAAAAAGTCAAAAGCACTTTAGTGATGACACCAAATACATTATAAAACACTTTCACAGAAGCCTAAAAGCCTCAGCACACCATGTGTGCCACAGGAAGGAGGAATGTGTATGACAAGCATTGCCAATGGCATTGGTGCTGGCACCAGCACACAATTTTTAGGGTGAAAATGCCCACCTGAGGCTGGAAGTAATCTCTGCATAATGTTACCTGTCTGTGCAACCTTTCTGCCTGGTAAGATCACAGACTCACAGAATTGTTAGGGTTGGWAGGGACTCCTGGAGATCATCTGATCCAAAYCCCCTGCCMAGGCAAGGTCACCTCAAGCACCTCTCTCCAGAGAGGGAGACTCCACATGCTCCCTGGGCAGCCACCCTCAATGTAAAGAAGTTCTTCCTCCTGTTGAGGTGAAACTTCTTGAATTTTATCTTMYGGCCATTACTCCTCATCCTGTCATTGGGCAYGCCCAAAAAGAATCTGGCACCATTCTTTTGGCACCTGGCTTAGAGATATTTGGGTGTATCTCTTTGTCAGAGGTGGAGGGCTTGGGCAGATCCTTTCTGATCCGAAATTTTTCAGGGAATTCCAAATATTTATTAAGTTTCTAAGTAGCTCTAGAGGCAGTAGTGCTCCTCATTTGTAGCCAACTTGAATCATCTGCTGGAAAGGAAGAGCATCCCATATAGCCAAATTATCTACCCAAGGAAAATAAATTTTCCCAAGCTTCTGCAGCCAGTTTTCTGAAGCATGAAAATTAATTAAATACAATAGAAACAAAAAGGGATAATCACAGCATAATCAAGTGTCTTTTAAACCTGCTGTTGAGGACATAAACTAATCCAAGACACAAAAGYTAACATAATAAATCTCAATTTATAAGGAAAACTACAGTCACCTCTTCACACAACCCCTCTTACAACCCAGGGTTTCTTGTTTGTCTTCATTCCTCTGTTTTGAGGGTTATTCTATGTTTTCATACCTTGACAGTAATCTTGTTTTAAAATAAATTCCCTCCAAACAGAACTATCCTTCAGTTTAAACCATTCTTCCCCCTGTGGTGTTTATGCCTCAAAGGAATTCATAATGGTAATACCTTTTAATTTTTGCTTTGTTCAAATGTCAACATGACTTATCATCCCTTTTGAAGTCTCCATTGCCCTTATTCTCCCCAAARCCTTTCCCTGTATCCCAATCAAGGCCAATCCTCTCTAGACAAATGGGACCATAATTTGAGGTCTTATCAGGACTTGTATGAGCAAGGACTGTCTCCCTGTCTCCAGAGAAAATGCCATGCATGATGCATCATGCAAAATCCTTAATCTCCCTCCACTTCTATCCTGCACCCTTGATGCTTTCTTGGAATTTCTCTTTGCACCCCACTGCCTCTGTCCCTATGGGCCACTAGTTTACAGAGAAATCTCATTGTTAGTGCTGTCATGYATGTTTTGTACAGGGGCATTTGCTGCAATTCCTGACACTGCTGTTCCCAAGCTCATCTAAATTATTCCTGTGTAAGGATGTGTCCTGCTCCAGGATGGTTAATGCTTTGCAATTTTGCATCATTCACAGAAGTCATCAAGTATGTGTCTTGGACTTTGCTGTAAGGTCATCACTCCAAAAGCTGAGCATCATTTGCCTCAGGAGAGATGCAAAAGAGACATGGCTTTGCTCTTGAACCCRCTGCTCTTCCCTGCTTAGCTGTTTCTCTGCACAGTCCTTATTTATTGTATTAATCTGCCTCTTCTTCACTGCACACTGGGGTACCATGAAAGACACTCTCCTTAATTCCAGGTAGATCAGGTCTGCTGCATATTTACAGGCATATTATATAAATATATAAATATATATATATATAGATGTCTTTTCATAGAAAGATGATGTTGGGCCAGGCCCACAAAATAAATTAATCAAAACCCAACAGTATTTTGTCCTGTCTTTGTCTCATCAGCGTTTTTGTGTTTGTCTTTGATTATTTATCAGAAATCGGTTCTGACAGCACGTGAAGATGCCAGCACCACTGACCCACTCCCATTTTCATAGGAGGATCTCTGCTTGCTGGTCCTCAAAGGATGTCTCAGGATGTCATGGGCACCCTTGCTGTGAGACAAATGGCTGCTTTGTGCCCACTCTGCCTGCTGCTTTGGCAGCCCAGTGATTCCTGTGGGATTCCCAGATGTTACCGTGGGGTTCAGTGTAGGGCTTCTCAGGATTCCCCCCAGGAGTACAGAGCAGGGGGATGCAAGCCAGAGGAGGCCATGCCACAGTCTCTGTCACTGCTAGTGACACCCTTCTAAATCTCCCCTTTTGGCCATGGTAAAAAAAACCTCTACAGAGTTACAGTGGAGTACAGTGGTTTTCATCCAATGGAAATTCTTAGCAYGTGGATAAAAGGGATCAAGCCACACACCTCCCTGCCCAGAGCCAGAAGAAAAAGTGCTGAGTTAAATAAGTGCTGTTCTCTGTTTTTCCATGAGACATGCATGCAACTAGGAAGGGGTTTCTTTCTGTTCCTGAAAGACGTTCATTAATGCAGCATTAATTATCAGCACTAGAAAAGTTTTAAAAAAGATAATTGAAAAGGAAAGGTAAATGAAAGGTTAATATACCATTTTGGGAAATGTTCTGCAAATCTCTGTGATTACAGCGATTTCTCTTGCGTAAACGCAGATACAAAGAGTCTGTCCAGCCTCTGAAACAGAGAAAATGCAAACTGCTAAATTCATAGGATAATGATAAAAATACAGCTGATATTAAAATGAAGTATGTTCTTGTCTCTCAAAAATTCAGTACCCCAGTTATGCGTATGCCTCTATTTCACCATCTCTCTTGGTTTTTTTTTGTTTGGTTGGGTTTTTTTTTGTTTTGTTTTTGGGGTTTTTTTGGTCTTTTTTTTTGGGTTTTTTTTTTTGTTTTTTCTTTAAATTTTTTTTTGTGGTCATAAATCTTTTTAATCTTGAACAAGGTGGCCTAAAATAAAGCCAACATATCTTCTCAGAAACTATAAATCAATGAAGAGTTTCTTTGACATTGTTCCATACAGGAACAGTGTTTTTATCCTGGTCTTTCAGATAAGGTGCTTAAAAACCTTTTTGTTATACTTCATTTATCAAAACAATTCTGTTGGCTGTTCACAAATTGACTTTTCAATTGGTTGTTATGGAACAGTAAGTAAAAGAGAAGAAACATTGGCAGGGCAATCATTTCCCAACATCATAAATCTTGGGCAGATTAATCTGAAAACAAGTTATGCCTGACTGTTATTAGTTCTCTCCTTTATTTTGCACTATTGAGAAAAATGAAAAAACAAATGAAAAGGATAACAGCCCCAAGGCTGATAAGAAGAGCAAGCTCCCAGCCTCGAGTACACAGTCATTTCTATCTGGGCTGTAGTTGTTTGGTTTTTTTTCTTCCAGGCGTGGAAGAGATTAAAAACTGAACACTGGACCAAAAGCTTATCACTGACAACTTCAGGGGCAGTTCTGAGCTCTGATCACTTGTGAGCTTCACATTCTTTGCAGCCCAGACAAATGCTGAGTGCCTGGGCATTGTAATAGATTTTCAAAGGTCAGTTTTGCTGTGGCTCTGATAGAGAAGGCTGCATAGATCTTTCCTGCTGGCTTGTCAAGTAGTAAACTGCCTTAGAGCAGACAGTGTGAATGCAGCTGAGGCTGRGAGCCTGGATTTTGCCCAGGGAGAAAAAAGGAAACAAAAAGTCCAAGTGTATGGTGCAACAGATATTTTTCCTGGAAAAKAATGCATTCTGCTAACTTTTAAATTCTGCTGGTAGAGAGCCCCTTCAGGCTTGACCCATGCTTGGTTTGGCATTCAGCTGTATTCCTGACCTATCYCAGACATAAAAAATAAAAATTATCAGACACTGAGGTCAGACCAGGCACTATTGATTGCAYCCTACAGTTCTTGCAGGATTCAAAGGCCTCTCAATGCTGGTCAGAGAGATGATTAATAAGAAGATTTTTTTTTTTTAAACTTCACAGTTAGAACTGCAGGCATTTCAAGGTGTTTTGTGCTTGGACTTTATTTTCCTTCCCTTTTGGCAGAGACTTACGTTTTTTCCATCTATCCCTGCATTCTCCCCCATCCACATGAGCCAAACCAACACAGAAAATTAGGTCACAGACTCTCTCAAATTCTCCTTTTGCTATTTTCCTCAAAATGTGTTAAATTAAAAAAAAAGGTGTGGGAGGGGAAGAAGAAAGATTTCCCCCACTAAAGGGAACACTATGAAATAACCATGGGGATATCCTTTATTCCACTGTTTCAGCAGCAAAAAGAAAATGTGAGGAAGATTTAAAAAAAAAAAACAAGGTAAGAAAAGAGAAAGGCTGATTTTTGTTAGTTTCAGCAACGCTCCCCTTTCCCAGAATTTTGTAAAAAAATGAGTTTATTTTTTATTTCTTTGGGGTTTTTCCCCTAAATTACAGCTTGACCTGTACAAAGAACTGTACAGTTTATAGTTCTAAAACCTAGCCTGAATTTCAGGAAGACTTGCTTACATATTTAAAATATTTTTTTAAAAACCCTAGATCCAGTGTCGAGCTAGATTTTAGAAAGATCAGATGCAGACCTGAATGGTATTTTTCTCTTTTCTTTCAAGCACTGTTTTGGTTTTYTTGTTGCTGTGCTCTGAGAGACCTAGAGACTTGCTATGACTTGGCTGCCCTGCCAGCTGGCTTACCCGATGGTGGAATTCAGAAATCCAGTGAACTCTGAGAACTGRGGCCAGTCAAGCTCGTCACTGAAAGCCACGGGGAGATTAGCAAATGATTTCTGAAAGAGAAATTTTTAAATCAATTTTTAAATCACCCTCACAGACATAAAATCCTCTTAGCAAATTTGAACACTTCTCAGCCAGAGCATTAGCCAGACAGCAGCAATTGTAACTCCAGCTAGTAGTGGGAATTATGTATGCGGATACTTAAAAAGTTGACTCTCGTAAGACAGGCATAYGGAGAGATGGAGGAAGGAAAAGCAGAGGAGATATCTGAGTTGCACTTCATGGCACCCTTTTTTCTTGAAAGAGTTCAAAACTGTTCCTGATGTGAGCATGTGCTGCAAGTGCAGAGCACCAAGGCAGCAGCTGATTGCTCCAGCACCTGTCCTGCCCAAAGGTGGGGCAGCCTTGGGCACAGGAAGAGGTGACAGCATGATGTCCCCAGAGAATATGGCAAAGGCATAATGTCAAATTCTTTCAAAGCTTCCCTGCTCTCTACAGCAGGATGAGCTGTGAACAACATCTGATCCGCTGAAAACCTCTGCCTKCTCCTCACTAAATTTTGGGGATGGCACTAAGGCAACAGAGTCAGAAASGTCTCTGAGCATGGCAGGGACCAGGGAGAAAAACACATCATCTGACATAACCTCCTGTGCAAACACATGCATCCTTTATCCTTCTCTGTTTTGCTGATATTGGTCCCTAACGCTTTTTTAAAGCACCTGTGAAAGCCTCTCTGCAGATGCAAGCCATGTTGCACAGTCAAAACACAGTGCCCTGTTCTTTTCCACTTTGTTTTCTGAATGTACCAAAAATCATGAAAGGTTAGGAAAAAAGCCTTGATAAATTGTGCCCTCTCAGAAGGATGGGAACGTGGAGTAAATTTCCAGCTTCTCCCASTCTGGGGTACGCTTGCAAAGACAAATATATAAATCCAGTGTGCTCATAAAGAGAAAAACTGCTGATGAAAAAGGTAATAACCAAAAGAAGGTCAAAACATAAAATGAGAGAACTTACAGGCTGGTTTAATCCATATAATTTATTGGCTTCATTTTCTCTTCAGGCTATTATAGGGTTTCCTTAAGACCTCACTGCTATAAACAACAAGCAGGTGGGTAATTCTTTATCCAGGAGGGTCAGAGTAGCTGAGGAGCTAAAGTAGAGTTAAATCTTGTGCTCCCCACAATTTCACCCTCCCAGAAAATTATTGCTCAGGTGAATGGAAGCTATACTTGAGTATATGGGTTGAGTATATGTCTATGTGTTTTGACTGTAAGAGGATGGAGRGGAGGAAAGGCAAGTAAAGGGGGGCTGGGGGGGAAAGAAATCCTGAAGCCAAGCTCTGAGCAGTCTAATGCACAGATGCCAGTTTAAAGCATGTAACAGCACATTTGACCCACTTACAGCAGATCTGCATTAGTTACCGAGGCAAAAATGGGCCTGCCTTAATTAACTCAGTTTATTCTCTCTTCCTCTCTCACATCCATGTACATGTCCTTGTGTGTGTCTGTAGATACATATATACATAAAAATATTCGGTTTTTAGGGCTGGAGGCAACTTTCATATTTACCTTCTTCAAATCTGTKWKTTTTGTGTGCAAACAAGCACTTAAYCCAAGGGCACAGCTATGAGCAGAASTGGAGGGATACAGCGTGCCTCAGCCATTTGCAGTATTTCCCTCCTCTTAGGTTTGCATTAAAGGTGACAGAAACAGAGCACTTCGCACAGAAAAAACCCTGTAGATATGATCTCTTACGAGTCACACATACATAAGAGTATAGAAAAAAGATAAGTATTATTTAATACTTTTTAAACAAATCATTTTACAACCAATTCTCTCATTATTTCTCATTAGCACTCCAAAACAATATCTTCATTGGACAAGACCCAATAGTTTTTAACTGTTTGTTTTTTTCCCCTGGAAACTTGGCTTAATTATGAATTAGCCAGAACCTAATTAAGTTGCAAATTGATTTGAAGAGGAATATTTGAGCCCAAAATTATAGATGCATGTGAAAATTGTATATGCATTTAGTATTGATACTGATCCAACAAAGCACTTAAGGGCCAGACATTGAAGATATTTCAGGTCCAAAGGGTGAAGATGAGTAGTTAATGGAAAATTCAGAGGAATGCTGAACCTTAAAGTCAKCATTGATGTAGTTTGGAAAGCACAGTCTAACAGACTGTGTGCTGCTTAGTCTCAGATGCAAATGTGTCCCACACTAGAGGTGAAACTGTGCTGACTTTTAGCATAAAACTCTTCTGAGCACAGCCTTGTTTAAATACCATTCTCTAGACTATTCTGGCTGAGAAACCTGCTTCAGCCCACGTGCCAGATTTTAGCAGAGAATCAGTAGAAAACTATTCCAGCCTAGCTTCAAATGCCATATTTTAGCCTCGTATGCTTTAGTTGGGTCTCATTTCAGTAAATGTCCTCCCCTCCTAGATGTGTCCTACCTTGAAGGAGGGGGCAGCCAAAGCCATGGCTGATGCTAAATCCATACATGATGAGCTGTGCTTAAATGGAAGAAGTTTCAGGGTTGGTATGGCAAGAGATTTTCAAAATCAGAATACAAAAGGGCACTGGAAACAGAACACTCATAAAAGCCTTTAGAAATGACAGTCCTGGAAATCCTGAAACCATTGAGGTATACCTTAATTTGAAGSAAAATTGAGTGTTTGTTTTTATAATGACTTTAATGCTGTTCAAATCCTGGTGAGAGTATTAAGTACCACAGACAATTTTCTTATTCTGTAAGTACACAAATAAGCAAACGTTACAGCTCTTGAKAAAAGGACAGCCTATCTTTTTAAAGAGCACAAATTGCATTTCTGCTCTGTAAAGCTGCAAGGGACAGAGGTTTGAAATTAGCAAAACTATTATTTCCTTATTTCCCACAAAATGCAACATCTTAGTCATTCATCACAATACTAGCTGGGAGAAGCCTGCCTGCATTTCACTGGATTTAGAGGAATGGTAGAGAATGTTTTTAGAAAGAATTTCACACATCCAACTCCTGTTTTCTTCTAGTGGTGCAAAAAGAAGACACCAGTGGGATAAGCGYTCAGGACATCCTGAATCCACATTTAAAGAAATGATGGATTCTGCAAACAGGAAATAAATAGTATGAAACAGTTACTTTAATGATACCTGACAAACCCTTGAGTTTGTGGGCAATTGGGTGTTTAGTGGACTATGATAAACGTAGAATTTATTTTCCTCTTGATTCAGCATGAAATAGAGATCCAACAGTTTTAAAATGCAGCTTTCTAGAAAGGCTATTATTTCCATCACATTTATAAATATAGTGCTTTTACCTCAAAATAAAAGTGTCTCTAAAATGAGATATAAAAGTTGCTTCTATTCCAGACATATAACTGTAATTAGTAGCTATTTGGAAGTCAATTGTAAGCAGATGGACAGAGCAGCAGGAGTACAATATCCATCGCTAGACATTCCAGTGTTTTCAACATTAGCTTTCTGCAAAAAACATCTACCTCAAAAAAACCCCAGTATTCCTTCTGCTTTGTYAAACCTTATAAAGTGCATGTCTACTGCACGATGCTTCATTTTTCGAGTCTTAAATTTTCAAGTTAAAGGGATGAACATTCAGCTCCATTCTTGCTCAACCTTTTAGAAGAAAAGTCTGGCAAAYCCAAAAACTACTGATGATCAGAAAGCCAAAATAAAGTTGACTTGACCCCTTCTTACAGATGGATAATTCTCTTTGTGTGAGGTACCTGTGACTTCTCCTACACAGGAAAGAGTGGTGTTTTGGTTTTTTTTTTTTGTTTTTGTTTTTGTTTTTTTTTCTGTTGTTGTTGTTGTTGTTTTATTTCTTTGATTGTTTATTTCCACTGGASAAATAACATGTGAGCTGCAGTTTTCCAGGATGTTTCCACCTCATAATGGGTATTTTATTTGTTACACACCAAGTAATGTCTCCATATGGCCTTTGTGGGAAGAATTTACTCTGAGAGGGATGGCAACTGAACATGTGAATGGCTCCTGGGTAAAAGCTTTGGAAATAGCACTGGAAAACATGAGTGTTCCCTCTGATATAGAACATGCCTAGAGGATTTGATATGGGAAAAGTGAATAATGCAACTTGATGCATCCCATATGACATGAGATGTGTAACAGAAGCATGTCCCCCTTAACTGGATTACACTGGGGTTATATGGACCTTACAGGTCAAAACTAAGAGGGCAGTAAGTTCCTAATTAGACAGGAAATCCAAAATCCAACATATAACATCTTCCCAACAATTCTCAAGTCAACAGCATGGACATATGAATTCCAAAGCTGTTCATCCCAAATACCCATCTTGCCACCCCTTTGTTGAATATCCAGCTACCCAAAAAACATCCTGAGAGAATTTCTCATTCACATTCTCTTTCTTCCSTTGCCCCCCATAACCTCTCCTTTGCATGGTAAACTACATGCAGCAAAATCAGGGAAAAACATCATTCTGCAAAGCCTCTTAACGAAATAGTCAGCATCTCTCCTGAAATATTATTTCCGGCACTTAATTAGCTTTAAAATCGGAATTAACAGCTGCCACTGACACRGTGCTGATTAGCAGATGGGTTCACAGCATTGTTGTAAGTGTAAGTTTTACTTTACATTTGTATATGTAAACACTTGTATGTGTAAACACGTAAAAGGATAAATAGAAATAAGAAATATGTGAAATATAGAAAGCAGATAACACAGATATATAAAAATATAGAAAACAATTAAAGTAATAAAATAATACACTGCATAGATTTGGCACACAATTTTATCCTGTACGCGTGATAAAAAATCTGGACAGGGTAGGGGCGAGGAAGTGCTATTTGGAATTCCATGTAGAGGTCTGAGATTCTATTGAAATGGAAATTAAAGCTTTGAACTTACTCTGGTATTGACTGTGGGTAAAACCATTTGACAAACTAATATTTTTATGGGTCTCATCAAAGATATTTTGACAGAATCAAAGCAAAATGTCTTGAGTTAGACAGCACAAGGGAACAGCAGGTAGACAAAGWTGATGCCTTATCCTTTCCAAGGCCTAACTTCAAATTCTTGCTGTGGTCCCAGATTAAAGACCTTTTCTGTAAGATTAGGATACGGACTCTCTGTGCTCTCTCTGGTCACAAAGCCATCCCTAGATGTGCTTGAGGGAAGCCTTGAATTGAAAAATCGTTGAAGCCAATTAATTTGTTAGTGAARCCTAGAGATGAGGGATATTTGCCAGTGGCATTTAATGCAACACAAGAGACAACAATATTTCACCTTCACAACCCCAAGGCTGCTGTTGACATTCTCCACAGAGAATGCAAGACACAGAGAACAAGGAAGAGGAAGAGGCAGTGATAAAGTCTGAATTAGTTCAGAAATGATTTTGCTAACACTTTTGTGCTCAGGTGGAAACTTTCACACTCATGGTGAGCTCCAAATTAAGTAACTTTATACTTTTGCTGGAGCTTAATCACAGATAATAGTTTTTACATAACTGAGCTCTCTAYATGTCTGCATTAATATTTAACTGATGTATTTTTGCCAGGTTGGTAGGAAAGTTTGTGAACAGTCCCGTAAAAAAACACATCCTTTCCTATCTCAAACTTTACATATATTTTTTGGGCCTTACACAGAGAGCACCAGTTCCCTCCCCATGCAAGCTGCTCTACACTCWCCAGACAGTAATAAAGGACCTCCAAAATTCACTTTTGTAATCTGCACTCCAGCTCCCGACCTTGAAGCTTGTGCCTTGGCATGCTATTACCAGGCCTTGACCCATCCAGCTGGTGGACCAGCAAACTTCAAGCAAGAGAAATTCTTTCTAAATCTTAATTACAGTGATAATAAAATGCTGACATAGTCTAAAACTGGTCCTGTCTACACGCCTTTGCTTCCAGTGTTACTGCCTCAATCATCATCACCATCAGTACTATGATCATTTTTATTAGACCAGATAATCTCAATTATCATTAGTGCTAATTTATTATGTTCCTCATCAGCTCTGTCATCAGTGTCATTTGTCTAATTGTTGCTCATAAGCATTTAACAAAGAAAAACATCAGCTAATCTGCAACATTTAAATCAGCTCTGGGAGGAAAAGTGAAAAAAACCCCATGAAACTCTCAGACCTCCCACAGCACTGCAACTACTGACATTCTGGAAAAAGAATTGTTCTCCAGAAAACGTCTGTAACTTTATTCTACAGACACCAGTGGAGGAGTAGCAGGTTTTCAGCAGGAAATGTGGGCAATCATGATCAAACTGCCCAACCCTTACGTGGAGAAGGACAAGGTACAGTCCTCCCTAGCTAGGGAGTGACAACATTTCGGTATAGGAAACAACAGTGAAGGTCAGGAGCATACCTGTGCATTTATCCCCACCCCATAATTGCAGTTGGCTGGTGTGATTTTCTCCTCTCAATTATTTCATTACATGCCATGAGGCCAGKTTCAGTATAGTTCACAGTCAGGCACATTTTGTTGCTTGAAAACAGGAAATGCTGGGATATCACCCAAAGATAGCCATCAGTGTGGCTGTGATTTTTTACGGTCACAGAAACTCTTCCCTTAAGGACAATCTATTATAAATACTTGGATGACCCTCAAACACCTGCGGCTGCATTTGTTCAACAAACCTCAAAACCTGAACACTGGAGTTATGAGACCTATTTCACATATGCCACAGGATGAGGGAAAACAATCCAGGGCACGTCATTTCCAAGGCAGATTCCTAAAGCAGAATTTCCCTGACTGTCAGCAGGGTCACTTGTGCAACACTCTCACAGCAAGGAGCCATCCCGAGCAGCCTGCTAATGGCAGGTCTGATCCCACAGACAGCACGGGTCTCCTTGAGCCACAGGCACGTGTGTGGAAAGCCAGATGTCCTGGTTTGTGTCTCTGGCACAGCACYGGGACACTGCAGCCAAACCCTTCCCTGACCCAATTGCACAGATGCTGGAGCAATGGCAGCAGCACAGGGCTGCACTTTTTTATCTTCAGAAGAGCAGATGTGGGAGAGGATGGCTACATGTGAGACCGTAACTACAAAATCCAGGGCAATGAAGCATTTTGCACTTGTTTCCCCTTGGCAACCTGCAGCACAGCAGGGAAAGCAAATGGCAATCAGTGGTTTTGGCAACCCGAACGTGATTCCTCACCGCTGACATCTGCGTGACGGTCATCCACTCGGGAGGGATGTGGAAGTGAGCGCCGGCCGAGTCCCCCAAGAGCACGACCCCTTTCGAGCCYGCACCTGATGGATGCATTTTGTTAGTGACATGGGCAAAAAGAGCAAACTGAAACCGAGCTTGGAGAGCGTTTAAAGAAGAGCAGCAGTGGCAGCTGATGGAGTCACAGGGTGACTGACTACACCACTCTTCACGTGGCTTCARTGTTCAGACACTGCAATAGGATTTTCACTTCATCTGCAGCAGAAATTGACAAGCGTTTGCCAACAACCCTAGAGAAACGACTGGGGACTGGGCATGGAAAACAGGGGGAGGTCTTGCTAATCGGAAAAGAATCCTGGCTGTATTCAAATAATGTGTTATTTCAGCAGAGGTTCTGCTGTGCAGACAGTGTTTATTTTTACTATCCATAGATTATGCATTAAAAAGTACTTAAACATTTAGGGAAATCGGATTACTCAGAAAATTGCTCAAAGCTCCTTAGAACTGGGTGGTGGATGTGCTACTCATATGAGTATTTCTGCTGGAACAATCTGTCTGGGTTATAATTAATGTYGCTTAACATTTGTAGATTGCCTTTCATCTAAAAATGTTGAGAAGCCTCGCCAGGCAATGGTTCATCCCCAGGATACTGATTTCAGTGTAGGGTGAGGTGAGTGACAACGGCAGCCACAGCTGGTTTGTGAGGCTTTTATTTGTGAGATGTGGGCATATGGGCACCCACCCACATCGTGGTCAGAGAGATCAGCTGATGCCATCACTTCCCCCTTTTAAACCCTTTTCTGGAAAAAAATATATCTATTTATGGCAAGAAGTAAAACTGGACAAATGCATATGTTAAACTGTTTCTGTAAATCCCAAGGCCATCACTCTGGGTTCGTCTGCAGGCATCAGAGAAGATGCAGAGGTGACACYTCTGTTTGCTGCTGTCCCTGATCTCTGTGTTCAACTTCATTACTGACCTGACTTTTAACAGGAAATTACCAGCAGCCTGTGTATTTCAAGTTTCATCTTTGCCCATCCTCAAGATTAAAAATAAYCCAAATAATTTTGCCTTTCTCATGATGTTGTAAAGCCTGCTGTCTTTCCCCTGCCTTGTGAATGACTATGCAAATATTGAAATATTTATAAAATCARCACATAAGACATGTGATTTCTTGTATTGACTCTAAAGATTTACCTTTGCAGAATTTCTTCTCGTAGGGAATTCCATCTTTCGGATCCACACCCTGTTGGAGAAGAGAAGGGCAGATGATAGCATCTATCTAGCATCTGAAGAATGTCAGTGAAAAGCAGAGGCTGAGAATTTAGGTCTTCTTGAATGTTTTCCTGCAGGAGGCACTGCATCATAATAATGTTTTCCATTACATTATTTTAATAAGTATATGTACATTTAAATTAATCATATAAGCTATAATTTAAACAATCATAAAGCATCAGTAAACAAACTRTTAATATCAGTTAATACTACCAGAATAAATAAGAAAGAAACATTTGTAGGCTAAATCACAGACTAAAGAGGACAAAAGAGAAGCAGCAATCAGGAATGTGCAACTTCATTTACTTACCCATATGCCATTGCAGTTAGAATCACCTTTTGCATCCCAATCATCAGGACTAAAACAAGGACATAAAAGGATAAACAATGTCAGAAAAAAAATCAGGAAATCAGATCCCTAGTCCCATTTTTCATTAAGAATAAAAAGGAATTAGAAATTCCTTTCTGCATGGAATGGTGGGGTTTTCCCCCCTTTGAATCTAGGAGAGGCAAAATGCAATATTAAAGTTAATACAGRAAGTTGCTGAATGAAACTTATCCTTTTAGTCAGTGGCATGGTTTCCCTCCCCACCTCTGCAGATGCTTCAGGGAAAGGGAAGAAATGTGTGCACCCCCCCTGCAACTGAGCCCAATCCCTCGTCTTGATCATCCCCTCTTGTCTCCTTCACAGTGAAATCAAGCTACAAGCAGTGATGTGCTGGCTAACAGTATAGTCAAAATAAAAACTGGAACTCATTCCTCACAAAGCCACAATTATTAGGAAGCCTTTAAAATAACAAAAATCTTTACCGCCTGCCAGGGTACAYGGTGGTGTTTTTGTCATCGCAGTCTCTGCCTCGCCAGTGATAGCCCCTCAATGTCTAAAGGCCAGSAGAAACACACAGATAGGAAAGTCATTATTACTCTTGCACTTTTAATTTAAAATATCTAAAATGAGAATCTTACTCAAGGTGTAGGAATAAAACCCAGTAAACAGGTTGTATTCCAGAGTCCCTTTGCTAAGCTTTAATAACTGACACCTAGCATGCTTTGGCTCAGAAGTAAGACAAGTTGGCAATTTAATTTGTTTTTTAGTTTGACTTTACTTCACCTCTTATTAATTCAGTAAACAAACCACTCAACAGCAGAGCAATTTGATTCTGCAGGGAGCACAGCTTTATGTGTGCATCTCCCCAGGTGGCAGACATGAATGATTGCATTTCATCCAGGAAAAAAATCAACATTCTATGACAAAACCCCCTCCATTCACTTTATTCTACACTATTTTCACATGAATGGATAAGGCTTTGCAGAAAGTAGAAGGAATCCCAGARACATCTTCATTATCAAGGAATTACTGTACCAAAGGAAAGGCTTTGCTTACTGGGAAAGTACTAAATTTATCTCCATCAAAATCTTCAAAAGGCAGTTTATTTCTCAGAACACTGTAAAAAACAAAAACCATAATGTTAACATATGGAAGGGAACCTATTCAGAAAGTAAAAAACACAGTGAAGTGTACAGAATAGATAATATCTGGCATGGCATTCACAGCTCCATATTCAGTTGTGTCTCTGCACTTGTACTTCAGCAAAGTGAGTGATCCTGTCCCAAAGTGCAAATTCTGTACTCAGTATCTGCTGACTGAGCTCTGGAGGTGAGGCTGATGGACTCCTGCATGGCTGCAATGTCAAACCTGCAGTCCCTAAAACAAACTAGGACATCAAATCTGTGGACTAAGTTATTTTTTTATCTTTTTTTTTCTATAACGTTTTTGTGGCTACAGAAAGAGAAAGCAAAAAACCAAAGATGGTGAAAGAATGCATGAGGGAGATATCAGAAGAATTTAATTGAACACATCCAATCCAATATATTACATACAATTTCAGTCCCACTTCCGCTCTCATTCCACTGAACTCACAGGGCTCAAACTCAGCTTTATGTGTCCCAACTGACATTTCAAAAGACACTTGCAAGACCTCTCATGTCAATCAATCTGCTCCCAATAAACTCCTGATATTTGAAGTTTCAATTAAATGAGCAGAAATAGGTGAGCAAGTTAGTCTTGGCAGYTGAATTAGTCCAATGCACAGCTGATAATACTGATTTTATTCTCAGACATGCTTGAGTATTCCTCCAAGTCATTGGAGTACATTGACAAATATGCTTTAGGAGTAATAGCCCAGCTCATGTCCGTTCATGAAAATATGCTTTAGGAGTAATAGCCCAGCTCATGGCCGTTCTCAGAAACTGACTCAAAGTCAGCACTGTCATGAGTTGTTTTTCCTAGCTGCCATCCACCTGACTTTCTTAAACACCTTGTGATTGTTCTATGCTTCAAAACTGACATTAAATTCATGTTCCACAGAGTTGGTCCACACGGGTCCTCACAGCACATATAGGTGCTGGTGGCCTTCCTGTGCTGAGCCACGGGCACCACAACTGGGTGACCAAATGAAATGAAGAAGTTCCTTGGGCTCAGAAAATCTCAGGAGAAAGGTGGCTCCCTCTTGGAATGTCACATCTGTGACTGTGTCACATATTTGATCTCTGGGACATGCTAAAATTAAGCAAATGTTTTAAGCATTGAAAAGAATGGAGGGATCCCTGTGATGACTCTTACTTACCTGAACTCTGTGCAAGCTCCGTCTGTATTATCTAGACAGTGGTTTTGTACAGGAAACCAGCATAAGTAAAGTATGGGAAGCTTTGCTAGCTAAGGATGACTTTTGAAAGAAGCAAATSTACCAAAATCTATTTCTGGTTAAGGACTGAAAATTTATACATACTATGTAATCTTCTCACACAGGTTAGCCAGAAGAGGAAAGGCACAGACACTTGAGAACCCCATGAAGCTTTTCTGGAGAGGAAGAAAAATAAAAGAAGATTGGTGCATTAGTTCACAGAGGTGGTGTAGCTTGGGATATTTAATGTCAGTAAATTACAAAGCTAAACCATGTACTTTCTGCCTAGAAACATCCAAAACCTCCAGTGATGCCAGTAAAGATGCCACATGCCAGAGGATTTAGACAACAGTCAAGGATTAAGACTGAGCATTTCACAAAACAACTATTCTTGCTTTCAAAGACCTGTAAAGCTCAAAAATGAAGGAAAAAGTTCCTGTGAAAACCGCCTTCTCATTTGTAACCATTTAAAAAAAAATCTTTGTAAAAATAACTGTTCTCATGTTTGATAAACATGGTGGCATCTGACAGTGCAGAACTAGTGAAAGCCACGTGCTGTGAGCCACGAGTCTGGCTTCCACACACCCAAGGAGGAGGGGATAAGTCAAATGGCAGTGTCAGCTACAAGAGGAGGAGAAATGGGACGATCCAGACTGTGCATAGAATATCCTTGTTTCTTTTAAATGAGCTTTTTACCTGAAAAYCTAGATTTTATTTTGGCCAAACCTGGAAGCTGTAAAAGACAGCTGCTGCTATAAAAACTCTTTCAACATTAGTAGCCCATAGCCAAGGGCCAACCCAGTTGATGTTCCAGGCAGCCAGGAAGCTTCAGAAGCTGAAAGAGACCTTCCTAGAGAATTGTGTTGCACTGGCAGTGAATCCCACAAATACACTGCTCATGTGGCCTGGTCTTGAAACACTGAGGGTGCTCGAGTGGTCTCTAAATGCAGAGGGCTAATTGGTGCACAGCCTAATTAGCTGTGTTCACTGAGRCTACATTTAGCATGCAAACATAGAGCAGACGAGCAGATGGGCATAGTCATAATTTTATGCAAGGAAGAGTAATTGTTTATATAGACATAGCACCTAAGAGTTGTCCTTGGACCAACTGCCTTGTGCGGTGTACTTAATACACACAGAAAAAAGGACTAAGAGAGTCCTCAAGCTAATGATATCAGAGCCCACCCCCAACGTGAAACAGAAGGTAAAGGCTGCACACACCTCTGGAGAGGACAATGGAAGGTTATTATACAGCATGTAGGTCCACAAACCCAGTGGATAAAGAAGAGATTCAAAAAGAAGATTTCAAAAGAAGAACTTCAAGGCAGCACAGCAAGGCAGTGAGGCCAAGGAGCACAGGGCATTGCCTTGCAGCTCCAGGGAAGGTGTTTGCTTGRACAGGTAACAAATGGAGATGGAGGTAAGGGTCTCAGGCTGCCCAAAGCAGGAGGTCTGGCACAACAATATGCCACAGTCAGCATATCAGTGTGGAGAGGAGGGGTGGGGCAGTAAAGAGGGCATAGAACCTCAAGTAAAAAGGTGTAGCCAACATTTGCACTGGTGGCTGAAGTGACCAAACAGCAAGGTGGAGATAAAAAAAACGATGKTACTTTCTTCAGGTACCACTGAAATGGAGGAGGAGAGATCCTCAATAGAGGTGGAGCTGTAACAGAGCACTTTCTGAAGGATGCAAAAGTGAAACCAAGAAAAGAAAAAAAGGAAGGTCATGGATACAAGAAACCTGAAAAAAGGCCACCAATTAACTTTCTTTGGCTCTGCCCAACACACTCAAATAACAAAGCTTTAGCCACCACTGGCTTGGAGGTGGTGGAGGTACTGGTGGAGTGAAAGGAGAAACCAGMACACAACCACAGAAGAAGTGGAGAGAAAAAGCCAAAAGCAGCCAGGCAGTGGGGCCTTTCCTTGAGGTAAAAGGCCAACCTGGTCCCACTGCTGCATTTCCAGTTCCCCTCTGCTCTTCCCCATCCCTCTGCAGCTCTGTATCCAAGCTACTGGCTGCCCTGGGGCAATGTCCTGCAGCATGGCTGGGATACAGGCTTCCTTTTTGCTCTGCATGTATGGTCAGAGAGAGTGAGAGGTGCACAAACAGGATGCCAGCTTTTCTCAGAGAGCTTTGCAAACCTATGTAGACCTTTCTGYAAAGAGGAAAGAAATCACTTCCCCCACCTCCTTCAAGTAGGACTAATCCTGCCAACAGAGGCACCAGAGGCTCTTTAAGCCTTCCATCAGGCTAAGATTTGCARCGTCTTCATCTGAGCTGTCAGCTTTTCACTTCAGTCTAAGTCACATTACGCAAAGCCTTTGAAGTAAAGGCACCTGGAGCCAAAACCGCACCAGAGAGACAAACTACAGGGCTTGCAAAAAATAAATACATAAATAAAACCTCCTTTYATTCTGCTCACAGCCTGAGCTAGAAGTTTACCCTTTGCTGTAAGCAGAACAAAAYCTTTCCTTCCTTTTTCTCAGCTAGTTGTTTGAAAATTCTTGCTGACTGGGTGTCTGCTAGTTTCAAAGTAACATTATTCTGCAGGGCCCAAGACTGCCTAAGTTTTGTGGGAATGATTGACCTTGCAGTGGTGTGGGTGCTGCCGAGGACCATCTGCAGCAGCATTCCAAAGCCTCTGTGCATCCCCACAGCAGGTGGGACAGTGAGATCTGGAGATTCAGTTCTGCTTGGGGTTGTGCAGGAAAGCAGCTCATCTGCTCTTTGAGGGTGCCTTGGGCTATTTTCAAAAGGCAAGGAATGCAGGTATAAAAAAAGAGGGAATCTTTGTGTGAGCAGGCACTGTGGGGTCCTTCCCAGCAGAGACAAGCTATGGCTGCAGCAGCAGCTGTTGAGAGAAGATGGACTGCTTRYCCCTGTGTAACACGAGWGGCTGGGCAGGAGATCAGCTCATGYCCTTCTCTCCCTGTCAATTCCCTCTGGCCTCCCTCCATGGATTCCCACTTGTCCCACGGCCAGGCTGTGACTTGCAGGGACCTCACAGTCTGGCCAGGATTGTGCCTGCTCTCATTAAATGTTACAGCCAGAGCTCTAATCACCATTCTTTAATTGTTATTGCTCAAAGATGCCCCTTAGTATCGACTCCACCCACAAGAAAAGTTAATGCTAGAGGGGCTCACAGTGATTGATAACACTTATATCCTATTCATTGCCTGATAACATTCCCTAATGAAATTTCTGTAATTATTTTAATTGGTTTTACTAAAAGGAATAACAATGAGCCCCTAACGCTTGTTGGTGTTTGGTTTAAACCAGTGGCTTAGAGATGGCTCACTCCTTTTAGTAAACAGAGACATTTATTAAGATTTTTTTGAGTTGTAGCCACTTTCACTGAATCTCTACATCTGGCAAGCACCTTTTCTTTTTCCCAAGCTCACAATGAAATGTGAAATGTGAAATCCTGAGATTCAGATGGATCTCCCACTCTCACATCTATTTTTTTATGCACAGTCACACACAGCTGCCAAGCCAAGTTAACTTGCAAGAACTTCTTCAGAAGGCTTTCCCCAAACATGCAATGCAGCAAAAGCAACCAAAATAGCAGACATGGTAAGGATGGACAGATCTAATTTGATGTTTTGGTCTAGCATGAGGTAGAAGATAAAAAAAGCCAGCTGAATGTTTTTCTCTCTCCACAGGTGTGGATGCAGTGATGTCCCATCACAGAAGGAGTGTTTCTGGGTCTTCACCCACACACACAGACAGGGGATCCTCTCCCCAAGCAGTGAGAGCTCTCACTGAGATGTGTCTGCCTGCGCAGGTAACAGAGGATGATTTGGCAGCCTTGAGCCTGGGCAGGTGATTTCCTTAGTATTCCATCACACGCTGCTGCTCTGGGATACRCAGCTCACGCAAGCATGATTCACACTGTGCTCCCTCCTAGAGATTCTCATTTGTGTTTCTTACTGCATTTTTTTTTCTGGATCTGAAAATAACTTCAATCTCAGTGAATGGGAAAYTGCAAGCTGAACTAATGCCTCCAGAAATGTTGTTATTTTCAATTTTCCAGGTTTAAAATAAATTTCAGCCCAGGCTATTAAAGGGAGCACACCCGCAATAACTGTAGGAGAGGCCCAAGCAAGCACATGATACTTGTTTTAATTTGAGCTGACCTTGTATTGTGCAGGAGTTTGGAAATACATTGAAAGCCAACCRTGACCTTTCTGCTTCCAGTCTGCTTGTCCTTCCCACTGGTAAACAGGCAGCTRGGATCAGGAAGGGGCCAAGGGCCACTGGAGACTGGCAGAGGTGTTGGAACATTGAGAAGCTTTGAGAATATGGCAGAAGAGAGGCAAAATAGGAGAGCCTATTGCACTCAAAGATTGATGCCAACCATGCCACCCTACCCAGGAGAGCATGAAAGGATGTGGCATGCACAGCCCAGCAGAGTGGGATGTGGCTGGGCATGTGAGGGTCTCAGCCCCATAGATGTGCAAGGAAGCCAAGGAATCCTGGGCCCCACAGGGTAGTCCCCTCCCCTCTGGTTCCTCTCCAGCGCCGCATCTCCGGCTCACAGAGAGGACCTGCTTGAGTCAGAGTGTCTCCATACAGGTGTTAACATGGGGACTTGCTCCAGGGAAAGAGGAATAACAATTTCATGTAATTTGARTGGAAATTTTAGGCCATCAGTAAGYYAGGGTTGAATAGGAAGGAAAATGAATGCGAGGTCCTGCTGGTTGCTGTTCTGTGGGAGCTGAGGCCCCTCTCTGCAGCATTTTGTTGATTTCCCTGGCTTGGCAATTTGGCAATTGCCCAAAGGCTAATTAGGCACCTCAATTTTCACTTTTGTAAGTAGCATCGCAGTAAGGATTCAGGAAAAAGCAATATCAATAATTTCTTCACAAACAGTTAAAGCATTTCCTCTGCACTGAGTGCCTGAAGACAACTGGAAGAAAACTCCAGGGCTGAACTGAATCACCTTAGTGAACCTAGCAGAAGAAAAGTTGGCCCTCCCTTCTCTGCTTCACTTTAGAGATCCTCTACATATCTGAAAACTGTTGGAGGTGGRAAGATTTCAAATCCCAGTTTTCACATTTTAGAGGCAAAGGCAGCATCTCCCAAACAGGAAAAATACACAGAATTTGCATTCAGGCCATCGCTTGAGTTTCAGACAACCTCAAAGTGCAGTTGCTGTGTTCTGAGGCAGTGGGTCAGTTCATGAGGCACTCACTTACATACAGCTACAGGATAGCTGCATTTTCCATGATTTTTTTAAATTCTCTCCCCATACTTCCATATTTTTTGTCTATTTCTCCCTCTCCTTCTTCCAATGTCACCTTATAGAGCAGATCCTGTATCAAGTAGGAGTGAGTCAGCATTCAATTCAATGCTGATCAGGAGGATTCATAGTCAGATAAAACAAATAAGGACTCACTCCTGATAAAATACCAGTACAGTGTAAAACACCCTAATGCCATCGATTTCTTACCAGGTTCTTGGAAGTCTTCATAATTCTTTTTGCTTTTCTTATTGCAGTACTCAGTCCCACCTAAGAGAGCAAGAACAAAATGAAAAACGACCAGATCAGTCTCACAGTATCCTACCAACTTTTCTCCCCATTTCCTACCATTTTTTCCTATTTTAATATCCGTCACAGCACAGAAATGATGTATGAGTCCACAAACTCCTCATCAGTTACTTTTTATTGGACTAACAATCAATTATCCAGTCACCTTCTATGAAACTCCAGTTGCAAGAGTTCATTTATTTTGCTCCAGGGCATCATTTATTTCCCAAGGAAAAGTCCAGATCAGCTGAAGAGCTGAAATTCATATCCTGACTGCACTGCGTGAGCTGCAGAGGACATACTTCTCTCGTGACTCCTCCTGACAGAAAACTCATCCATTAGAAGGCTAAAAGAGGGTTACTCGTGTAATGTCAGCCTGACTGGCTGTGGAATGGTACAGAGGAAACATTTGCTCCTGCATGGATCAGGGTTATACTCAGCTGAGGTTCATCCCAGCAGGGGAACAGATGCCATGCAGGAAGGTACAGAGCAGGCAATGGAGTTTGGAAGGGAAATCTCCTGCTTAGGATCTAGGAAGGTCAGCTTTTTATTCTGGAAATATCCACTTGGGAGAGCAAGTTCTGGCTGAGAGTGGCAAGACAGTTTTTCCATCACGTCCATGCCAATATGTGCTGAGGAGGCATTTTAGGTACCTCCACAATAAGGATCCTTATACAAAGGAAGAGTAGGAGAACCATTCCAAGAAAAGATCTTGGAGAGGCATCATCAGGTTGGCCATCATAAGGCCATGGGTTACAAATAAGTCAGCTGCCAGTGATGCAGAAATGATTCCTGAAATCCTGAAATCCCTCAAAGGAGGAGAGAAAGTTTTGTGCAAGAGGCACCATTCATGATTGTGGGTGACAGCCAGGAGATGGATGTGCCATGTGTGGCACATCAAGGCTGGGGTCAAATGCACCCTGCCAGCGGCGTGCCATGGCCAGGCACTGCCAAACATGGCCACAGTCCTGCTCTCCAAGCCTTCCTCAAGGCTCTGCCTGTGCAAAAACCTCAACCAATACATTTTTGCAGCCCACCTGGTCCATTTAGCCTGGCTAAATGTTGAGGCATGGGGATTAAGCAGGGGCTGTTTCTGCACCACGCTGYTAAGTGTTGACCTCGGCCTCAAGAAGTTTGTGCTGTTTCACACACAGAAAGATCAGTGCTTCTCCTGCCACAAGGATTCTCCCCACTCTCCCCAGAGATAAGTAGATACCCCAGATATGCTCATGCAGTTCAAAATATTTAACAACTGTTTAACAGCTCTGATGAACAGCGCTGTCTAAATTCAGCCACAACTTTACATAAGAAAGGAAGTTCTCACAACTTCAATTTAAGAAAAATAAAAAGAGCAAAGACAGTCACAGGAGTCTGGGGCAATCAGGGTAATGCCAAATATGCTACCCCCTGCTGCTCCATTTCCAGTTCAGGACAATATCCTTGTATCTCAGTGATGACAATCCCCACATGTTGTGCTACATTTTATTAGGCCACCTTTGAAAGCAGCAGTAGTKGTGTGATGGCCTCCATCCTTCCCCTCAGCATTCAGCATGAGGGAGGCTGAAAGCATTGCCTGTTTGCTCTCCTTCTGAAGGAGAAGGCTTTGAGAACTGACAAAAAAAACCCCAACCCTAAAATAAAAGAAGAAATAATAATAAATTACTTTTGAAAATGTTCCAAATGAAAAAAAAAATCCAGAGTATCACAAACGTTAGCACCTGGTTTCTGCTCAAAATTATCAGCGAGGACAAGCTTCTCTGTCTGAAAATGACCTGCTATCAGTCCGTCCTGCAGCCCAGCCTAAGGACATTACTGCCARCCTAGCATCAACTGGGTCTGAGGGCTCTGAGGTAAAGTCAGCACAAGTTTATATTTATCTGGACAGAGCTGGACTCAGCAGGGGGAAAATGGGCATGCTTCAGCAAGGGTTATTATTACAGCATTCAGAAAAAAAAAGAAAATATCCCTTCTGTGATGGCACCTTACTGAACAGCGGCATGCCAGCTTAGAAAATTAAAGCAGACTTAATTTGTATTTGAAGTAATCATTGCCAACATTTTTGTACTGGGGATAAAATTCAGCATGTCATTATAATTGATTTAGGCAGTGATCAAAGCAAGTTAATTAACCGTGATATTCAAGGGTCAAAAATTTATGGTGAACAACACAAAGGGATGCGGAAGAATGAGCATAAGCAGCAAGGAACACAGACTTCTAAGTTACTGGGGTTTAATATATGTGTCACGCTAATATATGTAGTTAATATATGTTTAATTCATGGTGTCTACAGTCTTCTAAAAACCAGGCTATGTCACAAGTAGATGAGAGAAGCTAGGAATGAGCCAAGACATTGTTTTGTAGTTTCTTCCCCCTGGGCAACTGCTGTCCCCAAAACTAATCACGCATCTTATGTTTCCCATAGTTATGTTGTACAATACCAGCTTCTGTTATTTCTGCAATAAAATTACTTGAGAGGCAGATGTGAAAAATGGGYCAAAAATGAGTATAATAGAAGGAAAATTCACAGAGAGGTAGGATTTATCAATCCTTTTCTGCTGGGCAGGGTAGGAGAGACCTTTCTTGCTTGCAGCAGCAGCACAYGAGAAATGGATGCTTCAGACAGCTACAGGAATATTGCACTCAGAAAGCAGAAAAGGCAGGAAAGGCTGGATTGACCTTGCACGTAGAAGATCCTCTCTCTGAAGCACCAAAGCTGACACCTGCTCTCACTTCACAAGTTACTTCAGCCAAAACCCCAGACTGGGCTGCAGAAGGCTGGCAGCTGAAACACCCACTGGGAAAACACCACTCCTGATTCCACAGGTCACCTGCAATCCCTGGCTGACACCAGCACGTCAGGCCTGCCACCGAACGCCATACTGCCCTTACAACCTCTTCTGCTGCATCTCTGCTAGCAAGGAGCCTCCTCTCTTTCCCACAAAAGTGTGTTCCCTGAGCTCCAGCAGCTGATGGATGAGTCCTGGGGGCAGCCAACACCATCCACCCCAATTGGTGCAGCCCTGCTGCCCTGTGTGCACAAAGCATCCAGCCATGGATGGGGCTGAGGRCAGGGCACCACTGGGATTTCACTCACTGCCTTCTTTCAGTGTTCTCCAGAGACCATGCGTTCCCAATAATGATTTCTTTTTTGGCAAACAGATGTATTTCTCATCGTAAACAAATGCATGAAGCAACTCTAATTCTCTCTCATTTGTCATCCTTGTTAGCCAGCTTTTTCCCAGGAGAGCAGATATTTGCAAAACACTTCGAGTTCCCTTCTAACTCATTTTCATCATCCTTTTACCAAGACTACCAAGATAGCAAAATTCTGCAAAGCTTGTCAAACAGCACAGATAAAAGTGGGATTTGTTCACGAGYAACGCTTCCTTGTCCTCACACTTTTGTCTGCCACCCTCCCACCCCAAATATCTCTGTGATGTGGAGTCACCCAAGATTTGTCTTCAAGTATCCTTCTGCCTGAGGCAGCTTTTACACTGGCACGRCACAGCTGCACACACCACCCTGCAAACCCCATGTCACCCTATTTCCTTTGGATTTATTTGGTGCAAGGTTGGGGTTGTTTGGATTTTGGGGGTTTGTCTGGGTTTTTGATTGGGGTAGGGTTTATTTTATTTTCTGCCAGAGAAGAGGAGTAGAGGAAATGCAGAGAAACAAGCAAAAGAGGAGGAACTCAAGTGGTGCTCAAACTGTGCCTTCTGCTAGTACTCATCACAGGTAGTTTCTTCAGGTTTCAGATACAACTCACATGTCAGYAGATTTTACCTATTTCCAAAAACGAAGGCTAAAAGGAGGGCATTTTGCTCCACAGGACTTAGTCTGCCTCCCAGATGCTTGTTTGACAGCTTGTGGTCTCAAAAGAARGAAACAGGTCCCAGTCACAAGGTCTACCAATGACTGGCAGCCAGCTCTTAATCAGGAATGCATAAGCACTCCCACCCTGGAGCTCGGTTCTGTCTGACCTCCCAGGAAGAAGTTCACATTTTCAGTGAGAAAGAGGAATGAGAGAAAACAGCAGGAATGTTTTAATTTTACTAAACCCCAAAGGGTTTCTCTTTTCCACCCAGAAGTGGTTGGCTCCTACTTTGTCAAACAGCCACAGTAATGTCYGTGAGGGATGTGGCTTTTGCTTTCCACAAAGTCAGTGAAAGACCTGATAGATGTACATGAACCAAGATGAGTCTTGGTGGCAGTGAGGCTTATTTTGGCAAGATAAAGTGATAAAGAGTGTAAATAGGTACATTTTTTGCTGATGCAAAATGACTTCCACCAAAATCCTATTGATGGAGATTAAACCAAATTATGCAGCCACAAGATCTCTGATAATCTGGAGCAGAATGATGGGGAGCAGAAGAGGCACCTTGAAAGGCAGAAAGAATGAGTACAAACTGCTTCCAACACAGACTCTTTTAGTGATTGCTAGAGCACGACCACAATGCTGAAGTCAAGCCATTATTCCAGTCCCAATAAAATAAAGTATTGCCATTTAACCAAACAGGYCAGCTGGCTTAAAAAAATCTAGAGACAAGCTGAAAATAATCTCCTGCAAACCTGTTTGTTCCCAGGGCTGGAAAGGAAACTTGGTAGGTAGTGCCTAAAACCCCTCATCCTATTTCAGCCCCTTTCACTCACTAGAGGAACATCCCTGTATTACACAAGTTCGTGCAGAACGTCCTCCAGCATATGAGCTGATAAACATTTTTGGCGGAAACATTATCCAGTCATCCCAAACCAGCTATCTTGGATGCCTGTCTTGCTGTCAGCGTTCTGGAGTGATGCTGCAGCCCATATTAGAACATCTGCTGTTGATACTGCTGTTGGCTTAAACCACACAGCACACCACAGCAGCTTCAGACACCATCCAGTTTCCAGATACCTTTAGTAAGCCCACTCTCCTGATGTGCCCTGCTAGTTTGTCTCTTTCCTTGAAGGAGTCCCCAGTGTTATCACCCTTGTACTAAAGGGTAGAGGAGAACCTCTGCTCTGCTCTACAAGCCCCTGGTGGCAAGAAGGGGCTCACAGGACCCATTACAAGTGACATCTGGTCACATGGCCATGCTGGTGATCCAGGAGCCTCCCAATCTGCCCCACCAATGTCAGTGATCTGCTCCTGAAACTGCTCCCCAGCAGAGCAGCCCACCTTGCCYGAGCCCCAGCAACGGGGGCTGCCCTTGCCCAGGCTGGATGCCCTTCTCCTCCAGCTCTGCGCTGAGAGCACTGAGCTCCACATGAACGGAGAAATATTTGTAATTCATAATCAGAGCAGAGTCTTCCAGAATAATCACAGAGTGCTAATAGCTCCAGGCAGCTTGGCCAAAAAAAAAAAAAAAAAATTATTTAGGCTAATTTGTCAGAGACCAGGGAAGAGAGACCAGGGAAGAGAGACCAGGGAAGTATGTAAAATGATGCACGTATCATTTATACTTTGCAGTGTATCCATTAAGTAGACAGTGTGAAAGGTCCCTGAAGCAGGGCTTCTTTCTTCCTCAAAACACACACCCTCCCTAAAGCAATAAAGTAATATCACACAAACAGAAAAAAATAAACTAATGACAGAAAAAAAATTAACTAATGATGGAAAAAAAGGAGATACGCTTTGATACTTTCCAMCTTAAAGGCAATTAAAACCTGAACATTATACGGCTTTCCAAGGACACGTAATCCTATTTCTTTCATTTCCTTTGCCAGTACAAATATGATACTAATTCTGGGAAAATGGGCATCCAAAAGTCTAAATGAATAAGTGAAGTACCTGAAAATCAATAGAGTTGAACAGAACAGTCATTAGTATTAAAGTCTTGTTCAAACACTCRGCAGGGGACTGCGCCAACATTTGCAGACTCATAAAACTGAAGTGATCAATCAAATTACAAACTAAAGAAGCAAATGTGAGGTAAACTGCATTTTATGCACCTGTGTCTCTGATTGTATATTAATTTTTTTCRCCCATAATTCATCTTTACTCAGTTTGACTTGTCACAGAGTTACTGTGTGCAATTTATCAACCACTTGAGCATGAATTCTAAGCACTGCTCTTCTCCTCCCATCTCCTCATGCTCTCTCAGGACAAGAGGAGAGCCAAAAAGAAGGGCACAGTCAGTGTAAAAAAATTGTTCTGTTGGTAGGGTTCACTTATTCATGACGAGAAATAAATAACTTGAGGGAAAGGGATTTAACTTCCACTTGGAAGGGAAGAGGGTTTGCTTGAGATACACACTCAGAGGGAGTCTCCAGGCCCTGCAAATAAGAGTCCAGACTTTGTTTAAAAAAARCAAACCAAAACCCCATCATGTTCAGCTGTTTTCCTTGAGGGCAGTGCACTCATTGAAGCTGTCACTGGAGGTGGAAGGAGTCAACCTCTATCCTACACCTGCTCTGGGAGATGGGTAAGAGCTCACAAAGATGTGACAGGGACCCCATGAGTGGCATCCTTTTCCCTCTGTCTGATCAACGGAGCATTTCAACACATTTGAAGGTGTCCTAATTTCCTCAAGGAGGCCCCTTGATTCAAACAGTCCCTCTCTCCAGACTYCTTAGCCTAGCTCACTGTGCAGCCATCCCTCTAAGTGCAATTTATTGCCTGCATCCTCTTTTACTACAAGAGGCACCTGGTACTGCTGACACTCAGTAAAAGATGTGGGATTTCTGATGGCACGTGTTTGGTGAAGTTGGGGCAATATTCTGGTTGAGGTGAGTTAATGTGAGCCCTCTGTGATGMTTGCACTTGTCTTCTTTCACCCCTGCGTGGTTGCACCCATGGATATCTATGTTGACACATCACAGAACACAGACTCACACTGCTATAAACCAAATGTTACTGTCATTYCTGGAAAGCAAGTGTTTCTCCAGATCTTGGCAGAACTAAATCCACCTTGTAGATGAACCACTGCTCTTTGAAGCCCATGGAAAGATTGCCTCATTTCAATGACTGCTGGACTAGACCCTGTGTGAAACAGCTCACGTGGACTTTTAGAAATCAAACATGCCTTTCTCCACCCAGATGCAGTGGAAGATTTACAAAAATAGATGCTTCATTGAATTGCTTACTTTTCAACACCACCAAGCAACCCCCATCACTCACAGGTTTTAGAGATGCATGATGGCTGGGAAGGAAAAGATTACAACCAAAAGAATGTCCAAACAAACAGCATATGTTTAGACACCTATGCAGATATATACGTGTACGAGCATGGCCAAGGTCTAGGATGTGCAATCAAAGATATCCAAGAGTTGCAGCAAGTAACTGTACGTCAAAGAAGCATTGGTAATTAAATATGTTTTCAGCCTGGGGCAAAAGATTATGCATGTTAGCTTAAACCTCTTGGACTGAAGGCTCACCCAAGTCAAATGGCCCTGCATTTGCAGCAGGTAACTTGTGCCCCCACAGGCTGTCACAGCAGATCAGGCAATGAGGGGATCACTTGTCTGCTGTGGTAAGGTGGTGGCATAGCTGAACCTCAGCTGATTTGGTGGTTATTGTACTGCTTAACAACAAAGTCTGGAGAAAGGGGTATTTTATTTTCCCTACTCTTCTTTGAACCAGATTGGTACAGGAGAATTTGGCCCTGTGAGTCCCACACTCCCTCAACCTGGTTAACAATGCATGTGCAGTGGAAGCCTCAAACTGTTCAGTTCCAGCTTAAAAGACCTGCCACAATCAGCAGTTTTAAGAAAAGTGGGAACCAACTCACCTTTGGAGGAGAGTAGAGATGACAAAGCGGCTGTCCCGGATCCTGTTTACACAGCCTCAAGGAATGGCAAACCACATCGGCATTCATTTCCTTGTCTATGCTGAAGGAAATGGTGCATAAACAAAGACTATTATGTTTTTCTRGGCTCTTGAAAGTAGAAGCTATTTCCATGGGAAGCTAAATCTCCCCAACACCACACAATAATCCCAGCTCACTTCACTGTGGCCCGTAACCGCTGCTCAGTACAGCGTTGGGCTCCAACGATTTTCTGCCACGACATCCTACTGAGCATTTAAAATTGGAAACCAAGATGATGAAAAAGCACCGTGCTTTACATCAAATGCATTRTAACTGTTCTAGTTTTTTAATCAATCATAAGTCTGACGAAGATTTAAAGGTTAAAGTTAATGCATAYGCAATTTGGCACATACGAATATTCAATCATTAACACGACAAAATAACCAGAAATCCTTCAAAGATCCTTAACCTTTAATCACCAAGCACAAGTGCTAGGATTGTTTCTTTCTTTTTGGGACACACCTCTGGGCTAATCAGGGATTAAATTAAAATGTTTGATTATAGCACTTCTTAGTCCTGTAAGCACTTTGCAGTCCCTTGGCTAGTTTTAAAAACAAAAATAAAAGCCCTRGGGAAGAAGAAGGCCCAATAAAAGCTCTGATAATTAAACTAAGAACTTTCAAAGAGGAATAAAATGACCTACATTTTATTTTTTTAATCACTTAGATTAAATAGTAGGCTTCCCCAAGAGTGCATATCAAGGTCGGGAGAGCATGTWGGGGCTGACAATTAGAAAGCCTGATTAAAGGTAGAATGGAAAGCAAGAGCCAAGCAACAACAGTATGATTTTATAGAACCTGTCTCACACACACACGTGGGTTATTCAAATTCCTCTCTCTGCCAAATGAGCTGAATTTCAAAAGGTAATTACATCAGATGGGSCTGATCTGAGATTTAAATGAAATATCAAAATGGTTACCAGTGGCAGCCTGTGTTTATTAACTCAATAATAGGTGTGCCAAATGCCAAACCAGAAYCACCCTGAAGCATCTCTGCTTTAAAAATAATGTGAGTTTAGGAGTGAAGTCCTTCCACTTCAACCTGACAGCACATCTGTACATGTCAAGAACAAATTAAACAAAAACACGAGAAGACACAGAAATACTTACAGTTCAGCTATGTGTGGTCCATAAAGTTCAGCAAGCAGGTAACAAAATCCTTGCAGTTTTTCTAGAAAACATAATGTATTTTTTTTTTTTTAGTAATTGAGCATGGTGAAACTGGTTTCATATCAGTCAAAAAATACATCAGCAGTTAATTCATTAAGGTGAATGCTGATTTACCTTAGGGGAAGGCAGATGAATCTCTGACCTCAGTGTAGCACAGACAGTGGGAAAACCTGAATTTCTAATCCTGCCTAAAACCCCTCTGGCTTTAGGTAAGTGACATGATGAAAACTAAAAAGGAAAACTAGCTTTTGTTAACTGTTCTGAGTACAGCATCATGGAAAAGTCAAAAGAAATCGTGCATGCCACAGCATCTTCTAAGCAGTTTAAACAAACATCTCAGTAGGTTTGCAAGAAGAATGAAAACAAGTAGATAAATCAAAGAGTAGAAAGTAATGTTGTGCTTCATGTTACTGCTAGAACTACCTTGGAGCTTCTGGGAGCTTGTGGAGTTAAGAGAATATGTTTGGTGTACAGCAGGAGTTGTGCAGGAGTAATTGCGTTCAAAGAAATGCTTGACACTTTTCATTTGGCTCCCTTTCACAGTCTACAGCCTTTTGGTGCCTCTTTGGGATGCTGGCTCAGGTGGTTTCCTTAATAGGTGTGAAGCATGCCCTCCATAAAACAGTTCATCAGCGATTTCTTTAAGGTACTGTTGTGAAAAAAAGGTGATCCATGCACCCGAGGAAAGACACTGCAGGAGAGACTGGGGCTTTGAATACAAGCAGGGCATGACGGCAGCACTAATTCTTCAGTCCCCATGAAGGAAAACTGCCTGTTTCCCAGCCTGAACATATTAACCAGTGGAGCTGGTTAATATCCTGCAATGGAGGTGTAAGGCCTTGCCCCAGCAGGGCTGGTGCTGTGAAATGTCACAAGAGACACGTTCACACAAGTGCAGTGTCAACAAACTTGCATCTCCTAAGAGTCTTTAGAGTTGTCGGCTTCTCTTGCACCTCCATTACCCACACAGATGACTATCTGTGCGTGGGGAAGAAAGCATAGAGTATTCCCACCTTTCCCAGAGAAAAGCCATAAAAGCACCCAGAGCAGTGGCTTCCCTCCAACTTTGGGCTGAATTTTCCATTTTGACCAGTGTCAGGCTGGATGGGGTGGGTAGTTTTGCGGCATGGAGGGTACAAACCCTCGCGGCAGCAACTCCATTGGTGGCTTGGGTGTGGTCCTGATCCTACAGCTGTCTCTGCCAGGACTGCAGGCACCCTGGCCGGCAGCAGAGGACTGGCACTAGGAAGGCATACCAGGGAATGAAGAGATAATTTTCCCAACACCCTCCTACTCATGGTGTTGCAGGCAGCTTCTGTAACTACAGCAGCTGATTTTTCTTATCCCATGACAGGTGTTTTATTTCAATCAAGTTATTAGCATCATTTCTTTGCCTCCTTTGCTACATAACTCCTCACTATTGGCTCTTTAGAAGCAATCTGCAAGTTAAAATTGGTCTCCTGACTAGAATCAGATTTTATTCTTGTTCACCTAAAGTGAAAGATGTCACAGACATCAATAACCTTGTGTTTGGCATCTCTGCTGATTAGAACACCCTGTGATGAGGCTTGCCAGTGGGGTACCTGGCTCCCTATGGTAGCCCACAGGCAAATGTGGCTGGCTTCCCCAACACATCTCCTGTGCATCACAGGTGAGAGTCTCCTTAGGAGTTTCTCAAACCAGCTGGTTTCCACAACATTTCTGGCTCTGGAGCAGCCAGCTGGCTGCTGTAACCTCTCCCGGTGTCTGACAAGTGAGGAGAGTTTGGCTGCCCATCAGCTATGGGGTGCTGATATAGGTGTTTTGGTGGTCACGCTGGTGCATGTAGGAAACTAAATGTGTAATTACCCTACAGCATTAAAAACAATGGGAGGTAGAAGGAATATCAATATTGTTAAATTTTTTTTGAGCACATGAAGTCCTCTTGGAAGATTCAGATGCCATTCAGGCTTTGGCTTTCAACAAAACAGACCAAAGCCATAGGCAGCATTCACAGGAGTTGCCCTTGGAGCCAGCCTGTGTTCTTGTGTTCACAAATCTCCAGCTCTGCTGACACACACAAGGAGGGGATATCGCAGGGAGAAACCTCTGCTAGGAAAAAGCAGTGGAAGTCAGAAGGGAGGGGAAGAAAAAGAAAAAATGATGAATAACTGTGGGTGTTCAGGGGCAAGAAAAGAGCTCAAACAAAACTAAATGCTGGAAACTTTAGAGAAAATATAGAGTATATTTGCTTCAGGTAAGAGAAATCCCTGTTCTTATGAAAGAATAGTCCTGAAGGTTTTCCTCTATAGCTTCATAGCCCTGGAAACACAAATTCTGGTGGAATCCCAGAGGACAAATATTTGCTAAAAAAGATGCTATTATCATGTTGCCATTTGCACTTGAGCTCTAAGGTGTTTACACAGCAGTGGTCAACWCAGGAGCAGAGCATGACTCAGAGGCTAAGCCGGAGGCAGAAGGGTCCCAAAGCACATTTCAGGTATCATCAAACAGACATTCAGCAGCCAGGTAAACATACATCCTTGCTAACAACATCTCTTACACTGTAAACACTGCCCCTTCCCCAGACCTGGCCTTTCTATCTGCTCAAGAGCCTTCTTCACTCATGACATTACTGTTCTTATTCTCATAGGTTTATTTGCCATGTCACTCAAACCACACACATTGCAAATATTTCCATGTAAATGAGGATGTGGTTCTGCTTTCTACACAGCCTGTGAGGCTGAGTGGGACTGACAGGTACTGCAATCTTCTCTCTCTTTTTTCTTGAAGCGTTTTTTATTCTTGAACATCACATAACTTTACAGAAAGCCTGATTCAAACCTGACTTGATTGTAATCAGAATTACAGGAGGCCCTTAAAAGCCCCCACTTTCTGGGTTTTTTTTGGTCCTGCTCCTTTTTTTTTTTTTTTTNCAGTTAATTCATTAAGGTGAATGCTGATTTACCTTAGGGGAAGGCAGATGAATCTCTGACCTCAGTGTAGCACAGACAGTGGGAAAACCTGAATTTCTAATCCTGCCTAAAACCCCTCTGGCTTTAGGTAAGTGACATGATGAAAACTAAAAAGGAAAACTAGCTTTTGTTAACTGTTCTGAGTACAGCATCATGGAAAAGTCAAAAGAAATCGTGCATGCCACAGCATCTTCTAAGCAGTTTAAACAAACATCTCAGTAGGTTTGCAAGAAGAATGAAAACAAGTAGATAAATCAAAGAGTAGAAAGTAATGTTGTGCTTCATGTTACTGCTAGAACTACCTTGGAGCTTCTGGGAGCTTGTGGAGTTAAGAGAATATGTTTGGTGTACAGCAGGAGTTGTGCAGGAGTAATTGCGTTCAAAGAAATGCTTGACACTTTTCATTTGGCTCCCTTTCACAGTCTACAGCCTTTTGGTGCCTCTTTGGGATGCTGGCTCAGGTGGTTTCCTTAATAGGTGTGAAGCATGCCCTCCATAAAACAGTTCATCAGCGATTTCTTTAAGGTACTGTTGTGAAAAAAAGGTGATCCATGCACCCGAGGAAAGACACTGCAGGAGAGACTGGGGCTTTGAATACAAGCAGGGCATGACGGCAGCACTAATTCTTCAGTCCCCATGAAGGAAAACTGCCTGTTTCCCAGCCTGAACATATTAACCAGTGGAGCTGGTTAATATCCTGCAATGGAGGTGTAAGGCCTTGCCCCAGCAGGGCTGGTGCTGTGAAATGTCACAAGAGACACGTTCACACAAGTGCAGTGTCAACAAACTTGCATCTCCTAAGAGTCTTTAGAGTTGTCGGCTTCTCTTGCACCTCCATTACCCACACAGATGACTATCTGTGCGTGGGGAAGAAAGCACAGAGTATTCCCATCTTTCCCAGAGAAAAGCCATAAAAGCACCCAGAGCAGTGGCTTCCCTCCAACTTTGGGCTGAATTTTCCATTTTGACCAGTGTCAGGCTGGATGGGGTGGGTAGTTTTGCGGCATGGAGGGTACAAACCCTCGCGGCAGCAGCTCCGTTGGTGGCTTGGGTGTGGTCCTGATCCTACAGCTGTCTCTGCCAGGACTGCAGGCACCCTGGCCGGCAGCAGAGGACTGGCACTAGGAAGGCATACCAGGGAATGAAGAGATAATTTTCCCAACACCCTCCTACTCATGGTGTTGCAGGCAGCTTCTGTAACTACAGCAGCTGATTTTTCTTATCCCATGACAGGTGTTTTATTTCAATCAAGTTATCAGCATCATTTCTTTGCCTCCTTTGCTACATAACTCCTCACTATTGGCTCTTTAGAAGCAATCTGCAAGTTAAAATTGGTCTCCTGACTAGAATCAGATTTTATTCTTGTTCACCTAAAGTGAAAGATGTCACAGACATCAATAACCTTGTGTTTGGCATCTCTGCTGATTAGAACACCCTGTGATGAGGCTTGCCAGTGGGGTACCTGGCTCCCTATGGTAGCCCACAGGCAAATGTGGCTGGCTTCCCCAACACATCTCCTGTGCATCACAGGTGAGAGTCTCCTTAGGAGTTTCTCAAACCAGCTGGTTTCCACAACATTTCTGGCTCTGGAGCAGCCAGCTGGCTGCTGTAACCTCTCCCGGTGTCTGACAAGTGAGGAGAGTTTGGCTGCCCATCAGCTATGGGGTGCTGATATAGGTGTTTTGGTGGTCACGCTGGTGCATGTAGGAAACTAAATGTGTAATTACCCTACAGCATTAAAAACAATGGGAGGTAGAAGGAATATCAATATTGTTAAATTTTTTTTGAGCACATGAAGTCCTCTTGGAAGATTCAGATGCCATTCAGGCTTTGGCTTTCAACAAAACAGACCAAAGCCATAGGCAGCATTCACAGGAGTTGCCCTTGGAGCCAGCCTGTGTTCTTGTGTTCACAAATCTCCAGCTCTGCTGACACACACAAGGAGGGGATATCGCAGGGAGAAACCTCTGCTAGGAAAAAGCAGTGGAAGTCAGAAGGGAGGGGAAGAAAAAGAAAAAATGATGAATAACTGTGGGTGTTCAGGGGCAAGAAAAGAGCTCAAACAAAACTAAATGCTGGAAACTTTAGAGAAAATATAGAGTATATTTGCTTCAGGTAAGAGAAATCCCTGTTCTTATGAAAGAATAGTCCTGAAGGTTTTCCTCTATAGCTTCATAGCCCTGGAAACACAAATTCTGGTGGAATCCCAGAGGACAAATATTTGCTAAAAAAGATGCTATTATCATGTTGCCATTTGCACTTGAGCTCTAAGGTGTTTACACAGCAGTGGTCAACACAGGAGCAGAGCATGACTCAGAGGCTAAGCCGGAGGCAGAAGGGTCCCAAAGCACATTTCAGGTATCATCAAACAGACATTCAGCAGCCAGGTAAACATACATCCTTGCTAACAACATCTCTTACACTGTAAACACTGCCCCTTCCCCAGACCTGGCCTTTCTATCTGCTCAAGAGCCTTCTTCACTCATGACATTACTGTTCTTATTCTCATAGGTTTATTTGCCATGTCACTCAAACCACACACATTGCAAATATTTCCATGTAAATGAGGATGTGGTTCTGCTTTCTACACAGCCTGTGAGGCTGAGTGGGACTGACAGGTACTGCAATCTTCTCTCTCTTTTTTCTTGAAGCGTTTTTTATTCTTGAACATCACATAACTTTACAGAAAGCCTGATTCAAACCTGACTTGATTGTAATCAGAATTACAGGAGGCCCTTAAAAGCCCCCACTTTCTGGGTTTTTTTTGGTCCTGCTCCTTTTTTTTTTTTTGATTTAGGAAAAGCCCAGCTGCCATTAATTTGTTGCTGTTATTCTTGAAATCGATTGTAGGCATGTGTATAATAATGAAATTTTTTCTCCAGATGAAATGTGTGACCCGCTTTAGGAGGTTTGCTCCTCAGGAGCATCCAAAGCTTTTCTACTGTTTCAAGCAGCAAAAGGAAGCTGTTGATTCCTGCTGGGATGCAGTGTTCACCTCCCAGGAGAGGATAAATCGGGTTACACTGTAGCTCCCAAACAATCCATAGGATTTTTTGCTGCTTTCAAGTTGAGGGTCAKGTTTTTTTCTGCTGGGTATATCCATGCATCTCAGAAGGTAACTGGATTATACAGATTCAGTTAAAGGGATAATAGGATTTTATGTGTGTAAAGAATGGCAGCTGAAAAGAAATATCTTGACATGTCAGAAGAACAAGGTCCACTGAGTGAATCATGAACACAGAGCTAGCATGTCATAATTTAAAGAAGAAAATTGTATTTTAATAGCAGGATCAGTGCTTCTAATTGCAACTTCATGGTTATGTGCCTGTAATTTAAAACACTGAGGATATGACTTATGGAACAGAAATCAGATAAGCGTCATTCTATCAATGAATGAATCCTRGCAATTAGCTCCCTGTCCCATTCTGCACTGGGAAATCCTCCCTTGGAAAGGAGGAAATTAATATTCTATACATATCTTCCGTGAAACTAGGGTCTACAGAGCGAGATKGTTTCTGAGAGATACAACTCATGAAATCATACAAAAATGACATTTTAATGAAGAATCCYAAGCCATCTTTTTACATTAATAACATTAAAAAGATACCATGAATGTGAGATCTCACTACTTAAATAGTTATAGGCTTGGTCTGTGAGGCACAAAGCCATTCTGGCATTGAAACTGTTCTCTATTTAGGGGTGTGCACGTGGAGCTCCAAGCTCCTTTGGGTAGATAAAATAAGGGGCAGAAAAAGGGGATTCTTACATATACTCGTATGGAATAGCTATCACTTTTGAACTTTGTAACACMAATTACATTTTAACAGCTTCTCTGTGCACACCGAACGCTCACATCTTACACCTGTCAGCCTCATCTCATTTTTCAAATTTTACAATAGCAGCCTCCCATACCTGCTGAAAACATTTTCATCTTCACCGTTGCTATAAAGACCCGTATCAACAAGAARGAGGAGCAGTGGGGCATACAGAGGATCTATTCTTAAGCTGCTAACAAAGAGACAAAGGGGAGAAAAAGGAAGGGAGCTGGTCTGCCTGAGCTGGTGCTCAGCAGCTGGATGTGGGGCTTAATACAGCCCCTTTCCCTCTGATTTTAGGACAAAATCCCAGCTCTGAATCTAAGTGAAGCCACGCCACTGACTTTCCTGTAAACAGTAACTTGCTATCTCCMAGCTACACACATTTGAGATACTGCACAAGAGGTGGATAAAGGTTTTTCAGACTTCTCATGCGAGGCTTTAATTAGCAGAGCAATAGATCAGCACCACACGACATATGGTGTATTATTTAGGACTTACCAGGTATGTAGTCACACAGTCTCTCCACAGCTGCCTTTACTGTGCTGTTGTGCCACTGTGCAAGCTGTTCGATGACGGACACCACAAGCACGCATCCTTCAAACAAACAAAAAAAACAAAAAGAGGGAATACTGTTATCTGGGAAATGGGATGAAGCRCCCTACACCGCAGAAGTCTATCTGGCATTTTTGGGATTTTATTTCTTGAGATGCTCCACTGCAGATAGGTGCCCRAGGGGAAAAAGATCAGTGAATTTGTGCCTTCATTCAAACCCTGTAAGTTATCACAGAGAGGATGCTGATTCCAGAGGAGCACACAGAACAGCCTGGCTTTTACAGCACCGGATGATGCTCCTGGAAATATGACTCCGTTCTTTCAAGGTTGGAAATTGAGGAGTCCAGGAGATAGCCACTGTTACAACTGCCTCCTTGGTCATCTGCTCTCTCGGTTTTTTCCCCCAAGAAAAAAAGCACAGGTCTGTACTTGACAGGACTTTTGTACCTCTGCACACAAGCCACTCACAGAGGTATTAAACCCGGAAACCAAAYGTTTGTGACTGCTGACAGAAGAGATGTCACACCATAGACATACGTGCACACCATGACAGAGCATCCATGGCATCATTTCTTCACAGCCTTGCCTCTGAARCCCAGTGCTCAGCACACAMAGGCTGCTGGGCCCAGCCACACATTTGTTAAAACCAAGATGTCTTCACAGTTCATTCTGTTCTGCTTCTGTGGTTGGAAAGAAACCACTTCCCATGACCTACGAGTCTGGTTATTTCTCATCACTCATCTGGGTGTGAACAGGGCTAGTGAAGTGTTCCTTGAGATGGGCAGCACCTTTCCTGCTGTTAAGAGGATTAAGTAGGTTCAGTGTGATCCCCCCAGAGCAGTCATTCAAAATCCACAGGATAAGCATTCATTTCAAGTCAATTTTAAATTGCTGTAGGTTATCATTGTGCTTTCTCTGCAGTAGCTTCACCATTTGATGAGGAGTACAGCTTCAGTGACGCAAAGTCTGCCCACTGCAGTCAAACCTGGCAGCCAGATTGAGGTCCCTGCCTAGACTCAGAGCCTGTGCAAGAGAGGCAGGTATCCYAGGCAGGCAGGTGACAAGGAGCCAGGATGCCAGTTTCCAGCAGCCTGAGTAAAGATTTCCTGGTAACTGAACCCTGTTTCCTTTCCTGTGCAAGGAATCTCCTCTCTCAGACTTGCACTGGCAGAGTCTAGAAATGGAGGTGAGCTGYACCAATGTGATGTGGCTCCAGATTCACTTTTTTCCAAAGCTCAAGGACATCAATGTTCAGGTTTTCAGACTGGCAAAACTCTTCAAAGTGAGCTTCTAAATTCCTTCCAGTCATCYCTACCTATGTGCTATTAAATCAAAGGGCTGCTTTTCAACATAAATAACTTTGATGCTTCTATGGCAAGTAAAAGAGAAGGTAGGGTAATTGGAACTTGCTATAAGACCAATATTTTTGAATCTTCTATTACTTCTTCTACCCCAAATACAGTAATCCAGTGGAAATTASAGTGAATTTGTCACCTCTTTTTCAGGGATAAAAAGCCCACTTCTCCATACTTATTAAATAAAATGCTCGCTCAAGATCCTCTGCAGAATGATTTATAAAGCTTGCTAAGAGCCATTACCTCCAGTCAGCCTAAAAGAATTGAAGAATAAATGGAGACAGATACAACCAAGAAAAACCCTGAAGCAAAACACTCCTTCTTGCCTGCCCTCCTCCCCAGGTCCCCAACAGCCAGAGATTAACTATTCCCAGGAATTGATAGCTAATTAAAAACACAGAAGCTGAAAAAAAGGTATAATAATAAAGAGCCAGACTGAAATTAAAGGAAACATCCAMGATGAAGATTATAGCAGGTTCAGGTCTTGGTCTCAAAGGTTTAACCTTAGCACAACCTTATCATAAAACAGTTAGGACTGAAAGGGACCTTCCTAGCCCAGGTCCCCTGCAGTGAGCAGGKYCATSTTCACCGAGATCAGRCTGCTCAGAGCCYCRTTCMACCTGATCTCAAATGTTTCCAGGGATAGGAYATCCAGCAYTCCCCCAGTGGTGGGGCTGGAAGTYGAAGARTAAGAGAAACTTCAGCTGTTTCAGTGCAAGTCATGCCCTTCACAGGCCTCAGGGACAGGAAACAGACCCTGGCTCTTTTGCCAGGGRAGTRTGGGAATAGCCTTGCTGGACTGACTCCATCCTTTAGCCCTGAGATGGCACTGCACATCCTGGAAACACACCATCACCCATCTAAAAGATTACATAACTTAGTTCTTRTAAGGCCATGCTATTCACACATGTGAGCAATATACAGACAACAGGAACTACCCTTCCCTGACTTCTGTGTCTGTTTTATTCATGAGGATGGAAGCTTGGAAAAATTAAATTATCTGAATGATGGCTTAACCACAAAGCCACACAGCCTTTCTGTGCCTTCCCTTCTGGTCATACCAAGGTCAGGTGTTCATCTATCAATTTTGCTGTCTAAAAGTCAGAAAGACAAAAGGAGTCCAAGCAGAAACACAGGGAGAAGTAAGTCCTTTTATGTTTTCCAAGGTGCACAGCTTTTGTTGTTTTATCTCTCATTTTTCTGCACCACAAGCTTGAGGAATCTACAGAATAATGGAATTGTTTAGGTTAGAGCTGACAGTGTCACCTTCTGTAGCAGAGAAAAGTGTTGCTCATTTTGCCTGTGTTCCTTCACCTGCAGCCAGGGGCTGCAGAAAAAGGGGATTRTGGGCAAACAGCTCAAAATCCAAGAAGCTGGACTGAGGATAAAAATACCATTGGTATTTCCATTTCCTCTGTTACACAAAAGACAGACTCCACTGAAGATATAAGTTTCTTTTTGTCAAGTACCACAGAGGGAGTGAGAAAAAAAAAAAGAAAGCTATTTTTGGTTCAACTCTGCCAAATAGAAACAGAATTCTTAATCACAAACACAATCATGCAGGTAGCCCCAGTCAAGGAGCAGTCTCACAGCAATTAAAAGGAAATTTTTCATGTTGATTAAGTCAGATAGACACCTTTGTGTCTATTGAACCAGGCCCAAAGGCAAATCTGCTTCACATGAGGATTAACAGAGCCAACACTAAGTTTGAGCAGTACTTAATGCGGTACCTCGGGCTACTGGATGCTAAATGAATATAAATAACAATAATAACAGCCTGACAGCCTAGGAAAAACCCACAGAGCTGAATTTCAAAATGCGTGCTCTCATAAACTCGCCTTCACTGTCACAGACAGGATGTTCCTGCTCACGCTACTACACCCTCCCCACCCTGGGCACCCAGACCACACCTTGGTTATCCAAATGCTYCCCCCTCAAATGCAGTTACTCCAGGTGAAATGCTACAATTCGTGGGACAATCTGATGGAGAAAGTTTTGGCTGATTTTCAAAAGGATCTGCCATTCCTTAGGCACCGCAGCTGAAGTTTCTGGACCTGAATTTGGCAGGGAAGGTGCTCCCTGGGAACACATTCCACCAGCACGTGCYTTTGGCTGATATGCTCTCTATTTTCCCATCCACCTGGGCTGTTATCAGTTGCCCTCAGTCCAATCTCTCCATACTCTTTGTGGTCTCWGCCCTGAGCTGTGCCCTGGGGGATGCCTGCTTTTGTGTGAGTTCTGCTGGCCTTTCACACAGGCTGCTGCCATCAGGAGCAGTTTTTTGGGCTGGAGATTCAAAAATATCCATGAAAAAGTTTGAACCCTGCAAGGAGGGAGGGGGAATGTCCTAAGGAGACCCTTTTCAATGGAGAGACCGTAATCTACCCTGTTTTTTTTCATGGAAACATGCCTCCCCAGTAATTCAGCTATGTCCTCTAGGAGAACCTATCTTTGGTGTTGGGCTACAGGTAAAACTTCAAGAGTTACTGTCTATAAATGAAAGTTAACTCAGACTATCATTGCTTATGCAACAAACCTGCTCACTTTTTATCATCTTCTTGAGTGGCAGGAAAGGAAATGCTGACCATTTATCCTAGCCTTTCATGGGTCTTAATTCCACTGGCTAAAAATGGAAGATAATTAGTTAGCTAAAAAGGGCAGRGGGAAATCAGATGTCTTTGACTGTAAAAATCTCACTGCTTTAATTACTTATGACATGTGCATGAATAAAAACTTTTTAGTACTCTAGCATCAATAGAACAGCTCATCCAGATCTGACCAGTCATTAGCAGCCATTGCTTATTTTTAATTTACTACATATTCAGATGTGATTTGTTTCTCATGATGAGCAGGGCACATATAAGGCAATGTAAATAGGCTTCATCATTACATAAAACTCAATTTTATTTTATTTTTTTTTACAGTTGCATATGATTTTCTTTAGAAACAGCTTTCAATAAGCTGATTCTGCTGTCTCACTTCAATAATAGGTTTCAATACCTTGACAGGCTGAAGGATGTTTTTTTCTGAAAGAAACTTATTGGCATTATAATACCTACCAGGCATTAAAAACTAGACTCTGGTATTAATAAATACCTGTCGCTTTTAGAAATGGTTTGTTCCATCTGCTGTTAATTTCTGAAGAAATAAGAAAAGACCATAACCATTTTGCTCAGTGCAGTAAGGCAAAAAGTCACACACCAGGAAGTACTTCTCTCCATGTGTCTGAAAGTACTGTGTAATAAAAAAATGCCATTTCCAATAAGCTCAGGAAAAAAAAATCATACCCCAATAATAAAATGAAAACTAGAGGAATTCATTGCTTAGCTGTGAAGCCTCTGGCAGTTTGAGCAGACTATTTAACTTAATCCACTTCTGCTGCACAASTTTGAAAGGCTCTATAATTAGAATTGTGCCTAGGCATGTCAAAAAGTTTGTGGATAGCGAAAGCTGCCTCTCTAAGTTTCAGATTTGTAGGTATATTTGTCTGAGTAAAACACTGTTAAATGGGTTTTCTAGCACCTGGCATATCCTCATTTGCCATCCTTTGCTCACGTTTCTGGGTGCTGGGCTTCTTTCTCACCCCTCCAGCCATAAATCAAAGGTACCCACAGAACACARGGAAGATGTAAGTCCAAAAAAGTGGCCTTGGACACAAATAGCTCTCTGCAAACCCTCTGGCCAAGC